GTGTGCTATTAACAGTGCTTTGTTATGATACGGCGCTGTTGAGCATTTCGTGACAGTTTACAGAGCTTCAAAGCGAACAAAAGCCGCTCAACTCAGCGCAGGGACCCGGACGAGAAATCTCAGAGCCATCAATTACCAGCTCGAGAGCGCCATTACGTGGCAGAAGGTGGAACCGCAGCCCCGCCGAGCTCGCAGGGTGCCTTTCCTTAAGAGCGCATCAGAAAAAGAAATCAGCCATCAAAACCTGGTATGTAACTGTCCCGACAGCAGGAAGGAAACCATCGCCTCTCACATCTTATCTTAAACTCACCAGAGAGATCAGGTCTGCGATAGGTGAAGACATTATATAAAACAACATTCAGAGTCGTAGCTACCAACTTCCTATAGTAATAGCTATCCACAACTACCAGGGCCACCTAAAAGCAAGCATGTTATCTGCAGCCTGCCAGAAGCTTTTGCTGCACTGTCCAACAGCTGAGAGTGATTTTGTTAATTAAACTTACTCCTTCTATTGTAAACCCAATCTACTCCCTCTTAGGTGGGAGGAAAGATACTACACACACACACACACAAAAGGCTCAGCACAACTTAACCATAGCTAGAGAACCACTGAAAGCAAAAAGACAATCTTCCATTCATTCCATTGGAGGTGGGATGCTGTTCTGCTCACGAAGTAGCGATTTTGCTTCTAACAGGTTCTCAGCAGCACTCACCCAACTGGTGCTGGGGATCTCTGGCTATGCAGCACTCCTCCTCAGGAAGCTCCCTTCCATGGCTGACCCTCACAGGAGCTCCAGGTGCCTCCACCCTGTGTTCAGCCCTTCTGGCCGCATAGGGAGCACAGCTGCAAGCACTTTGCCTGCGTTCCCCGGGCAGCCACAGCCCTTCACCAGGTGCTCAATCACCAGTTCAAGCCACACCCTAACAGTTCCCCTGCAGAAGCTTTACTGCAAATGGTTATTTCAGAAAGGATTCCTGTTCCATCAACATCAGAAATGCTTAACATATGAAGTGGTTACCTATTGACAGCATCTGCAATTGCACAGGAACAACCACATGTAACACTTGCTTTACCTTCTATATTCTTCCAGACTGAGGAGAGAAAAAAAAAATACCTGCTCAAGCAGCAGCAGAAAACAAGAGCTGATAGGGCATGATCTTTGAAACAACCAAATGTGGACTGGTGGGAAATGAGCAAAGCATTGAGACTTAGGACTTCTTTTGTTTCTCCTGCAGTGTCATTTCTCCATTTACCATTAAAAATAGACAAAAGGGGAATATTGCTACTTATAAGCTGTGATATTTCCATTTCAGTTTCTGCATGCACACAACAGAGAAAGCCTTTTCTCAAAGCCTGGCTTCACACTTCACTTAATACCCACTAGAGGTGGTTATCAGCCTTCCATTAATTAGCTTGGCAAATAGTATAACCAGCCAGAGAGGACAGGACACAAAGGTAGGTGACAATGCCAAAGCACAAAAAGACAAAACCTCCCTCTTTGGATTAGAGCGTGTTAAGGAAGACAGGTGAATACCCTGTTTAAAAATCCTAGCCCACTGCCCTTACAATCAGAAAAATTAACACAGTGGAAGTAGTAGGATTTTGAAGATAAGAACCTAGGAGATGTACTCAGAGTTAGAACAATGAAGCTTATGAACCTACTGAAAAACAGTTGAGTACAAAGAGCAAACACTCTGAACACAATGGAGCAACTCCAGGAGCAGTGAAAGAATTTATTCCTACAGGTCCAGACTGCACTCTGCCAAAACTCCTGGCAGCAAGAGGCCTCCTCTCCAATCCCATTGTCCCTCACAAGAAAGAAAGCAAATTGAACACATAAAGTCCATTGAACTGTTTTTGTTTTGCTATTTTAAAGCAACATTGAATTATTTCTATTTCAATTCCTTTATAGTTTGCTGGGAAAAAAAAAAAAACAACAAAAAAAAACAGACACTAATAGCTGGAGTAAAAAACAACAGGGGCTTATAAGGCACCAGGATAAAACTGACAGCTCACCGTGAGCATCCACAGGTGGGCAGGTAACCCAAAGTACCAGGAACCACTGCCCCGATGGGACAGTGCTGCAACCACACCAGAGCCCAACAGCCCTTCCTTGCAGTCTCCCAGTCACTCTTCCTCAGGGCCTGCGGGGCGTGGAACCACGGGTGTGCAGCAGCAGATGGCGCAGGCTGGAAAGCACTCCCGTGTCTGAAACCATTCCCTCAAACGAGGTAGCGGGTCTAAAATAGAGGTTAATATAAAGTGCCTCACCCCATAGACAGTTCTGCATTTTCCAACTCCGAATTCCTGATGAAGAACGTTTCTCCTTGAGCACAAAGATTAGCAAAAGGCTGCGAGAACGCCCGCAATTCTGCCGGGCGCCGCCGGAGCCGCTCTCCGGTCACGGCAGCTCAAGGTCTGACGGCAGCTGAGGCGTTGCTGAGGAGCGCGGTGCAGCACGTGGCCGAGATGGGACTCCTGAACGCCGCGGGTCCTTCACGGGCCAAGCCTCGCGCTCTGCTGCGCGCGGTGCAAGGAGCACACACGTGCACAGGGAGAACGCAGAGCAAAACTGGAGATTGTGACTCTAAGCAAAGAACAACAGGAGCTGCGTGCAGAAACTCCCCTAAACCGCACGAGCAGTCAGGAACCCATTTTGGTTCTAAACACGCCCCTCGCCGCTCGAGGACACTCCGGACAACACTCCTTAACAAACCCCTCCCCTCACGCTCATTTCCCTCCACGCGATTTTGCAGCTCCGCCCCGGGGCGGTTCCACGAGGCCACCGCCTCCGCCGCCGCCCGCCCATTGCACGCCGCGCGCTGCTAAGGGGCTGCGGAGCACGCGGCTGCTGCCCGCTGTCCTCGGCGGGGCCGTTGCAGCCCTGCCGGCCGTACCAATGGGATGCAACGGATTCCTGTAATCCGGCCCCATGCTGCAGTTCTCCAGCAGCAGTTGCAGCCATTGTAGCTGTCAATACAGCATTCACAATATAGCTATCTTTTTTTATCCTTTACAATCAGCGTACTCTAGCAAAGAAAGGCTCCACTTTGAGAAATGAGCTTTCATCACACGGACATGCTCTTAGCTGAGCTGGGCAAAGGAGACCCTATTTCAAGTGACAAAACAGCTGCCTGCATGAATTCATGCCTGCCATGATGTCGCTCAGAGTTACACTGATATCATTTTTTAATCTTCGGTTTACTTGCTTAGGGTCAGCTTGGAGTTGACACAGATGTGGGGCCGTGCAATGCTACCAGTCACACCAAATATTGCCTTGGTTTTCTGCTCAGAGCAAATGCAAAGCTGTGTGGTGACAAGCTGAAGTGTGTGGCTTTGCCTGCAGATAATGCTGGGAGGAAGCACTGCTGGAGATACAGAGAATCCAAATGCTCAAAAGAGGGCTTTGTGAGCTGGTAAAAGCATAAAGGAGGGAATGTATTCTCAAGCAGTAAATGACTTCTTTCATAAAAACAGTTTTGCAGAAAAACTGTCACTGTCACCAGCAGTGCAGTGCCTGCTGCGACTGGAATTAAAAAAGGACACAAGTTATGCGGAGAAATTCATTCCCAATACTGCCGTGGGCAAAGACACTGGAGCTGGAAGTGTCTGAGCACTACAGGCTGTCATGGGTGGAGTTAACTTTATAAAAATAGAATAGAATGGCATGGAACATGGAATGGAATATGGAGTGGAATGTGGAATGGAATAGAATGGATGGGATGGGATGGAGTGGAGTGGAATGGAGTGAGTAGGATAGGATAGGATAGGATAGGACAGGATAGAATAGAATAGAATAGAATAGAATAGAATAGAATAGAATAGAATAGAATAGAATAGAATAGAATAGAATAGAATAGAATAGAATAGAATAGAATAGAATAGAATAGAATAGAGAAGGACCTTTAAATCCTTGCATCATCTCAATGCTGTAACTGTGAGATGGGGTGGAACCATGGGAACCCTTTGTACAGCTCAGCGTTTTCCCAAAGCAGAAAGCTTCTCCAGAGCTGCCGGACTGCTCAGTGCTGGTTTCCTTCCCCCAGATGCAGTGTGCCGTGTGGCCAAGCAGCAGTGACACCATGATGTGTTATGTCACATATGCAGCCTCAAAACCTTGCCAACAGAATTTTCTACCCTATGAGAAATCCTTCAGTTTCAGGGTGTTTTGAGCCCATTTGTTAGAAACATCAACGCAACAAGACCTCTATGCTAGTTTGCAAGAACAAAAGGATGACATTAGGGAAGCTGGAAATTTCCAGCAGAGTTCCAGCAAATCCTGCAGCATCGCTGGGTCTGAAAGCTGTGTAGGGAGACAGGAGCAGTGCTGCTCTGTGCATCCCTGCAGTGCATCACACCAACAGCCATGGCACAGCACAACCTCCAATTGGGGGTACTGGGTCTGCTGTTCTCTTGGGGTTACGGAGAATAATGTATAGCTCCTTACAAAAAAAGGAAAAAAAGCACTGAAGTAAGAGGGAAAAGAGATTTTTGCATAGTTAATATGTACTTTTAAAGATCTTATTTCAACTTTATCTCATTTTTATACATCACACAGAATCACAGAATTGTAGGGGTTGGAAGGGACCTCCAGAGATCGAGTCCAACTCCCCTGCCAAAGCATAGTCTGCTTTTTGTAATGGATGTGATCTATTTGTATGCTTGCAGAAACGTACGAACAAATGAATATACATATATTAAAGGAAGGGGAGAATGGTGTATTGGGGGGTGCATGACTCAAAGAAAGGTTGTGAGGAGGATGAGGAGGGGGAGGATGAGGGTGGGGAGGAGGAAAAGAAGGTGAAAAGTAGGATGATGTGGAATACAAGGAGGAGGAGGAGGATGAAGATGAAAGTGATACTGATGGTACTGATGATGGTGAGGATGAGGATGAAGAAGGAAAGATGCGAATAATGGTGCGGGCCCCCGCGCCCCTCCTTTCTTTGCCCTTCCCCGGGGATAAGGGGGTGATGGGGGGGAGGCGTGAGCTCTCCAGGTGACGTCACCCCTCACCTCCCCCCCCATCCAACCCGTTCCGCGCGTGCGCAACGCGTCCGTCCTCCCCTCTCCCCCCTCCCCCGGTCAACCTTCTCCCGAAGCGCGGAGGATGCGGGGCCGCAGGTGGGCGCGGGGCTGGGGGAGGACATGGGGGGGGACCCTCGTGTGGTGGTGCGGGAGAATACGAGCAAATAGGAAGGTTAGGGTGCAGTCAGGGGAGATGAGTGCACGGTGAGGAAGTGTGTGAATCAGTTGAGGGGGTTGCAAAGGGCGTTGCATGTGTGCGGGGCGGGGGTGGGGAGACGGGCGAAAGATTTTGGAGGTGCAGCGGGGGGGCCTGCGGGGCTCTGAGGGACATCACTGCGCAGTGTGAGGACATCGCATCAGGGTGCCCCTGTGGGGGATGCGTTGGGCGTTGTGCACGGGTCGTAGGGATGGGATTTTGGGGATGGTAGGTTGTGGGGGGGCAGCAAGGAGCTGCCTGCCCCCCGCGGTGCTCGATGCGCTGAGCAGCCGTGCGGAGGCGGTGCGTTGTGGGGTGCGCAGGCGCTGCGCGATGGGATGGGAGAGGGCGATGTGGGGCTGGGGGGGCATTTTGGGGCGCATCGGGGGGGCCGTGCACTGAGCTGCACGTATGAGGGATGCTGGCAGGGGCATGCGCAGTGCACACATGCGGGTGTGTGCAGCGGAGAGCTTGGGGGCACAAAACAGGGTACGTGTGAATGGTGCAGGTGTGCACAAAGCTGGTGCACAATGGTGCACACGTGCACAGCGCACACCTACGTGTGTATGCAGCCTGTTGTGCTGCCATGTATGCAGCCACCCCAAATGCATGCAGCTCCTGAGCATGCAAATAGCACTGTGTATGTGTGCATCTTCATGTGCAGACGTGGTGTGCAAACATGTGCCCTGCACCTTTGTATATACAGGGCTGCATGTGTGCAGAGCTGCAGACGGGCACAGGATGTACCTGCACTCAGATTCACCTGTATGCATGTACCGCTCTTATGCATGCACCCTGACAGTCATGCGCTCCCAGGTGTGCATACAGAACATCTGGGCACTGTGCACACATGCACTCTTGCATGTATGTGCCTCTGTGCAGGCATGCATTCCCTCCACACACAGGGCTACATGCCTGCACAGGATTGCATGCCTGGAGGACACTTCTGGGATGCTGCTGAGGTGCTACCAGGAGCTTTCTAAAATCCATCAGGATGGAATGCCAGTACTGCTGGGTTTCTACTGAGATACTGCAAGCATACTCTACTACTAAGATACTAAGATACTAAGTACTAAGAGGCAACAGCTTATTACTGCAGCACTGCTGAGGTGCTATGAAGACAGTACTAAGATGCTCTAGGGATACTACTGAGATACTACCAAGATACGACTAAGACACTAAGATACTACTGGGATACTACTGGCACTGGGATTACAGGCAGCAAAGGGAATAGGGAGCCCTGCTGACACAGCCTGTGAGCAGCAGGTGCCTCATGGGCACCTTGTCCCCACAGCTAAGACGGCAGCGGTGGCAAGGAGGATGGAGGCACCCCTGGTAAGCCTGGAGGAGGAGTTTGAGGAGGGGCCTGGGGACAATGGAGGGGCCCCTCAACGCACCGTGGACCCAGCACTGGCTGAGCTGGAGAGCTTCTCGACTGAGATGATGAGCTTCAAATCGATGGAGGACCTGGTGCAGGAGTTCGATGAGAAGCTCACCGTCTGCTTCCGCAACTACGATGCCACCACTGAGGGCCTGGCCCCTGTGAGAGGCAGGCTGCAGGCACAGGAGGAGGAGGAGCACCTCCAGGATGAGGAGTGAGTAAGGCCTCTTCCTGCTGGGAACATGGGTCTCCTTGCATTCCCATCCCCGTGTTGTTGCATGATTGTGCAGCGCACCAAACTTTTGGTGCAGTATCCTCTGAGTGTGCTCCCTTAGGCCTTCTGTGCTCCTTATACTCCTGAGACTTCCCCCACGTGCTGCTCAGTGCCCTACATCATGGCATAGCTGTGCATCCGCATGGAGTTTCTGTGTGGTGTCCTACAAATACAACACATAGGACACATAGGACGCTCAGGCCTGCATGCCACCGTGCAGCGCTCTGAGATAAACCCCACTTCCAGCATGGAAACGTGCTTGCCCCATTGCAGCATGATTGTGCGGAGTAATGGTGTTTGTCCTATGAGAGGGCACATTTGGGGCTGTGCACCTCCTTGAGCGCGTGCAGGTGACCCTCTAGGTGCAAAACAGGCCCTTCCCTCACAGCCTGATAACGCAGTACCGTGCAGTGTCTGTAGTATCCTGGATATATACATATCCAGGTGCTCCACATGACATTGCAGCGGGCCCAGGCTTTGTGAGGAGAGCTGGGGGTAAGTGTGAGCTGTGAGCAAGCTGTGAGTAGGGCTCAGCCCCCTCCTTGCAATGTAAAACTGTGCACCAAAGTGGGGCAGCTGGGAGCAAAATCTGCCCAGTGCTGCCTGTGCGGCCAAAAGCACCATAAGTGGCATTTGCATTGAAATCTAATTTTCACACAAAACCTTTTTCTTGGTAGCAAAATGCCATTTAGGGGCAGAATTTATGTTTTTTATTTTATTTTTTTTTCCCGAGATGTTGACATACAAACACCTTTCTAATGGATTTCTTTTTGCCTGTTTAATTGAGGTTATTCGCCAGCCTGCACTTTCTAATGCTGATTCTTCACCAAGCAAAGTGGTTGTTTTCAAACCAAAAGCTCCCAGATCTCTTCTATTTTTCAGCTGTTTTTGTATTTTTCAGTGAAAAATCAGAGAAAAAATGCATTTTGGCAGAACGCCCGGAACGCAGCGCTGCCACCAGCAGCCCATGGTGCCACTTTGTGCTGTGGATTGTGTCATTTTGGGTCAGTTTGGGCAAAACAGGCTTTTTTTTTCCCCACTCCTCAATGAGCCCTGTGTGCATGGATGGGGGATGGGTGGAGGCCTTAAAGGCGCCGCTTTCCTCTAATTATTAACCAGCAATTGCCATAATTAACCTGGAAATCTGAGCTGAGAAAAAGCTCATTTGCTTTTTCTTTATTAGTTGCTTTTTTTTGTTAAAAATGGGAATATGATTTTTTTTTTAAGGTCCCATTTTTATGCATTGTGAAATATGTGCGTAAGAGGAAATTAAAATCAGATGAGGAGCGAGATGAGATGAATATCCCAAAATGAGTGTTTTTATGGTTGGTTTGGAGCTGGGGGCAATTAGAGAGGGGAGGCTGTTTTGGGGTGATTTAGGGGGAATTGGAATTATGCTAATGTGCACACACTTTTAAGGTATTCTGAGGCAGAATTTGGGGCGTTTTGGGATGTTTTGCATATCACAGTGGTGGTGAGGGAGTGGCCACCAGGCAATAATTAGAAGTATTTCAGGGTGTCCTGGGGCTCACTTTGGGATGCATTGTGGTATTTTGGCATGCTGTTTCACGATGGCTTTCTGTGGGGCAGCACTGTGGGGCATTCTGGGGTATTTTGGTGATCCCCACTAAACACCTACTTCCCTGCAGAGTCTGGGATGCCCTCACTGATGGCTTTGTCCCCCGAGGCTCCCCCCGGCCCTGGATGCACCCTGAGGCTGAGGCCCCTGATGGCATCGATCCCCAGGTATGGCTGTGACCCCCTTGGCACCCCAAAGCCCTGTTAGTCCTTGCCAATCTGTTCCCAAACTGGGAAGAAAATAGTGTTTACTTCATTGGCTTCATTGTAATGAGTTCATTCTATGAAGAGCTATGTTTGGGGTTGTGGGACGGCATAAAAAATCCACTGAATTGAGCTTGTTTGGATGTTGTGCAACCTGTCACTAGAGAAGAGCGTCCTCATCCACCACCTCCATCCATTTCCTTCCATGGCTTCACCATCCGAAATTTCCCTGTTATCTCCATACCTGATGACTCCATTCAGTCTCTTCATGCAGCATCCTTAATGCTCTCTTCAAATACCTGAAAGGTGATTGCAGTGAGTGTGGGGCTGGTTTCTTCTCACCGGTGATAGGATGAGGGGAAATGGCCTCAAGTTGCACCAGGGTTAAGTTTAGGTTGGATATCAGGAAACACTTCTTTACAGAAAGCCCTGCAATGGGCTGCTCAGGGAGCTGTTGTGTCACCATCCCTGGATGTGTTTAAAAACTGTTTGGATGTGGTGGTGCTCAGGGACGTGATTTAGCAAAAGATTGTTAGAGTTGGGGTAGTATGGTTAGGTTGTGGTTGGACTTGATGATTTTTAAGGTCTTTTACAACCTGAGCAATTTTATGTTGCTATGATTCACCCATCAAACTTGTCCCCATCCATCATTTCCACCCAACATCACCATTTGAAGTTTCTAACACCTCCATCCAGCATCCCCAGCCAGTATGACCCACCACTGCGTCCCCATTCAACATCCACATCCAGTGCTTCCATCAAACACCTCATAAGCCAACATCTCTCCATACAACACTCCTATCCAATGCCTCTGATCTAACACCTCCATCCCAAACCCCTATCCACTGCCTCCATCCAACATCTCCATCCAGCTCTCCCATCTAATGTCTCCTTGTCAGTTCCTCCCATGCAGCATCTCCATGCAACATCTCTGCAGCGTAAGCCCTACAGGCAGTGCACCCCCAGTGCTGTGGTTCTGGTAGTTCTTCCCATGAGCTATAGGGCTATGTCTGTGCCTATGCCATTCCCATACTTGCACCAGGCAGTGCCTGTGGTGCCACTGAGGTGACCAGCTTGTCTCCTGCAGCTCTGTGAGAAGGAAGATGAAGAGCTTGCTGAGAGAAGCGAACACGACTCAGGCATCAATGAGGAACCACTGCTGACAGCTGAGCAGGTACCTACACCCAGACACGTGGATGTCTCTGTAACACTGGGCTCACACTGCTCAGGACACAAAAAGGCCAAATCCACTTGTTCTGGGACAAGAGCATACATGTGGGCAAGGTTGCGGGACTCAGATGTCGGATGCAGGGTGCAAATGTGGGATGATGTGGGCTGCAGAGTGCAGATGTGAACACTGGTGCTTCACAGGTCATCGAGGAGCTGGAGGAGCTGATGCAGAGCTCGCCTGACCCTGAGGTGGATCCTGAGGGTGATGAGGAGGAGGAGGAGGAAGAAGAAGATGAGGAAGAGGATGCTGAGGCCAACGCAGAGGGTGATGGTGGAGGCAGGGGCATGGAGCCCATCATCCTGCGTGAGCTGCACACCTTCTCCCCCACCATCAACAACAACTGCTCCCATGAAGGTATGGGCAGTAGGAGCCAGGCACAGCCCTTTCTGGGTGCAGTTTTCACCAAATTGGACATCAGGAGGTGGCTCTCTGGAAAAAATGAGCCCTTCGAGATCTTTCTTATAGCATGGTTTTAGATGGTCCTGTGTTTCAACAAGCATGCAGCACATTTTGCAAAATGTCTCCAGCATTGTGCACTGCACTAAGTGCATGTTGCTAAGTGGCATGTGCCATCCTAAGCATGCCACGCAGGTGATCCATTGACAAGTTCATTTTGAAAAAATGTCTCACTTGTGCTGCGCATGGCTGTTTGCATCCTGCACTTTTCTGATGGCACTGTGCATGCATATGATTGCATGCAGCAAGGTCTTCCCTGAGCCATGCTTGGTGCATTTTCCTAATTTGCTGTCATGCACCATACACCAGACATTTTCCAAAATACATGGGAAATTTGATGATACTTTTTAATAATTGCACCAGGTTTTCCCCCAAATATACCTTGTCTACGTTTCACTGACAGCAAGGAGGGTTTCCCTAATCTTACCAGGCATTTTGATAATTGCTTTGTATATTCCCTAATTGTACTTAATGCTTTTCATTTACTGCACCATGCATGCCATTAATTGCATCAGGCTCTTCCATAGTTGCTCAGGGCACCTTGTTCTGACACCGGGCACTTCAGCAATTGTGCTATGACAGTGCTGGGTGTTCCAGCAATGCGCTGAGCATTTCACTGATCACGAAGCAGTAAAAAGGTTACAGTGTGCATTTCACTGATTACTCTGTGCATTTTGTTAATTATCTCTAGAATTTTACTGACTGTACCTCATGCTCAAATAATTGCATGATGCATGTCACTAATTGCCACAGACATTCCAGTAATTAAATTGCATCATTCATTTTGATCATTGCTCCAGGTATTTCACTCATGCACTGTGCTTTTGCTGAGTGCACCAGGAGTAGCTCTCACTGCATGAGGAATGCCATGAATTGCCCCAGACATTCTCGTAATTGCAATGTGCATGTCACTAATTGCACCAGGTGCTTAACTAATACACCGTGCCTTTCACTGACTGCATCAGAAATAAGACTCACTGCACCATGATGTCACTCACTGCACCGTGCATGTCACTAATTGCACCGGACATTCCCGTAGCTGCACTGGACCTTTGCTAACCGCAACATGCATTGCACTGAGCATCCCAGGCATCCCACCAACTGCACCTTGCACGTAAGGCCTTTTTGTACAGTGCATGCACGCTGTGCACCCTAACGATGATGCTGGCGGCAGGGCTGGAGCAGCTGACGGCCGGGGAGCTGGCAGCGGCAGCAGGGCGCGCAGAGGCAGCGAGCCGGGCACTGTCGGCCGAGCTGGTGGCCCAGCTGGCACGGCGGGATGAGCTGGCCTTCGAGAAGGAGGTGAAGACGGCGTTTATTGGGGCACTGCTGGCCGTGCAGGGGGAGCAGCGGGAGCAGCGGGAGGCTGCACGCCGCCGCCGCCGCGACCGTGGGCTCAGCCTGCAAGGAGGTCGTCCCGAGCGTGGGGGACAGATGCCCAGAAAGGTGGGGATGGGGTCGACTGACATATGGACGTGAGCCTGGGGGAGGTGGGGTGTGGGGCCCTGCGGATGTGGGGATGGCAAGGAACGGGATGGGGTAGAATGGGATGGAGTGAGATGGGATAGGATAGCATAGCATCAGATGGGATGAGATGAAGGGACATGGGATTGAGCACATGGAGGCCACTGGACATGGGCAGGACAGGCATGGGGATGTGAAGATGGGATGGGGTGACAGGGAGGTGGATCGGGGAGATGGGGGGGGATATTGGTGCCCAGGGTGGTGTCCTCATGCCAGGAGGTGACAGGATAATGCGTGTCCCCAGCGGTTCAGCATGGAGGGCATCTCCAGCATCCTGCAATCCGGCCTGCGTCAGACCTTTGGCCCCGCTGCGAACGAGAAGCAGGTGCCTTTTCCCCCCAATTTGCCCAAATCTATCCCCTTCCACTCCCTGCTCTGCACAGCCCTTTGTGTGTCATTTTTGCCCTTTTTTATTCCTTCGGTCCTCTCTAGCCAGGGGTGCATGTGCATTTGAGCATAACTTTTGCAGTATCCATTTAACTCAATAGCCCCCCAAACATCTGTAAATTAAATGCAATTGCTGGAAAGTTGCAGCTGTATTTGGCACTTCTGCTTTTGCACCAATTTGGGGTGGTTTGCATCAGTGAGGTGTAAAAAAAGAGAGGCAGCTTTATGGCATGGAGGTGTTTTGGGGGCATTTTTCTGCTTTGCAGTATCTGAACACAGTGATTCCCTATGAGAAGAAGGGTTCGCCGCCCTCCGTTGAGGATCTGCAGATGCTCACCAACAGTGAGTCCTTGCTTGACCCATATTGAATCACCATAACATGGCCAATTTGGGGCACAAACACACAATTTGCATTGCTGCAGTGCCCACAACTTGGATGAATTTTTTATTTTTTTTTTACATTTTTTCAACACAGCCAGTTGGGGGTGCAGCCACCTTTTTTGCAATCAGATGCATGACACCAATGCAGCACAGCTGGTTTGGAGGAGAAACACCATTTTGTATCAGTGAAGCATTGTGAGTTTTCAGGCACAGTTGTCTCATCTGCACCACTGCAGCAAATCAAAGCTTTTGCATCAGCATGGCTGCTGTTGGTTTTTGCATCACTGTGGTCCACGCACATTGGGAAAGATTTTGTACCCCCCGGCATGGCCAATTTGGGGCAAAATTGTTCATTTTGCATCAGTATGCCCTGAGCAATTTGGGGTGCAGTTTCCCATTTTGCATTGCTCTAGCACAGCTGATTTGCAGGGCCTCTCCTGCCCCACCTTTCCCATTTTTACAGCCCACCTCAGTGCCAATTTGGGTGGAAAATTCCATTTTACATCACCTGAGTGTGGTTGATGGGGGTGAAAATGCTCCACTGGGGTACTGTCAGAATGGGTACACTGTGGTAGTGCCTCTGTGATGGTGTTTGGGGACTGAATAGAGGTATGTGGAGATACATGGACTGCTCAAGGTCCTTTTTCACTGTGCAGTCCTGTTTGCTATGAAGGAGGGAAATGAGAAGGTGCCCACGCTGCTGACGGACTACATCCTCAAAGGTACCTGCATGTGCCCCATGCATCCCCCCTGCATCCTCCATACCCCAAGGGCATTCCCCATTTTATCAGTGTGTCCTTTCTGCATCTCCCTTACCCTCATGCACCTCTCCTGCAGTGCTCATGCACGTCTCATGCATTTTTTGTGCATTCCTTACATCTCCCCTTCATGTTGGGTGCGTCTCCTGAGCATCCCTCCTGCATCTTTACAGCATCCTCATGGACCTTCACATGTCATTGTCCATTCTCCTTCACCCCCTGTGTACTCATCCATGGCCCTTCTGCATCCATTGGGAATGCCTGGGCACCTGTAATGCGCCATTGTGCATTTCTCTCCTTTGAATATCCTTTATGTGCCTCATGCATCTCCTGGGCGTCCCTTGTGCATCATCTGCTCATCCTCCTGCATCTTTTGTGCATCCCCCATGCGCTCTTTGTACATCACTGCATGCCCCGGTGCATCCCCTGTACTCCCTTTTGTGCATGCCTTGTGAATTCTTCATTCATCCCTTCTGTTTTCCTCCTGTATCCTCTTACATCCCATTTACAGCTATTGTGCAACCTCATTCAACCAGAAGCACCCTCATTATGAATGCTTATGCATCCTTGGTGCAAGCTCATGAATGCTCACACGTAGTAGTGCATACAAACCCTCAACCATGCACGTGCACCCCCATGCATATTCATGCAACCTACTGCACACTCATGCATCACTGTGCACCTCTGCACATCTTTGTGGACCCCCCTGCAGCCCTGTTATCTACGCATCACTCTGCAGCCGCCTGCACCCTAGTGCAGCCCTGTGCACACTTGTGCACGCTCACCTCTCTCGTTGCAGTGCTCTGCCCAACCTGATGCAGTGCAGCCCTGCACCCCCAAACTTCAGCACCCCCAGAAATGGGGCCAGTCACATGGAAACAGGTCACCTGCACCTCCCCGGCCCACATCCCCCCAAACCTCTGCACAGCTGGGAAATAAACAATTTGTTTCATTAATTAAGCAACTGGCATCCAGTGTCTTCTTCCCCTGCATTCAATGAATAGAATTATAGAATTGCTCAGGTTGTAAAAGACCTTAAAGATCATCAAGTCCAACCACAACCTAACCATACTACCCCAACTCTAACAACCTTTTGCTAAATCACGTCCCTGAGCACCACCACATCCAAACAGTTTTTAAACACATCCAGGGATGGTGACACAACAGCTCCCTGAGCAGCCCATTGCAGGGCTTTCTGTAAAGAAGTGTTTCCTGATATCCAGCCTAAACTTAACCCTGGTGCAACTTGAGGCCATTTCCCCTCATCCTATCACTGGTGAGAAGAAACCAGCCCCACACTCACTCAAATACCTTTCAGGTATTTGAAGAGAGCAGTAAGGTCTCCCCTCAGCCTCCTTTTCCCCAGACTCAAGCCCCAGTTCCCTCCTGTGAGTCTCTCCTCACAGGCCATATTCTCCACGCCCTTCAGCAGCCTTGTTGCCCTTCTCTGGACCTGCTCCAGCACCTCCGTGTCCTTTCTGTACTGAGGTGCCCAAAACTGAACACAGTACTCAAGGTGAGGCCTCACCAGTGCTGAGTCCAGGGGCAGGATGACTTCCCTGGTCCTGCTCACCACAACATTCCTGACACAAGCCAGGATGCCATTGGCCTTCTTGGACACCTGGGCACACTGCTGGCTCACATTCAGCCCTCTGTCCATCAGAACACCAAGGCCCCTTTCCATCAGGCAGCATTCCAGCCACTCCTCCCCAAGCCTGTAGGGTTGCCTTTTGTTGCAACCAAAATGCAGGGCCCAACACTTGGCCCTCACACAGTTATCTCACACAGTTAATCTTGGCTCACTGAAACTCACACAGTTCATCTTGGCCCATTGACCCAGCCTATCCAGGTTCCCCTGCAGTGCCCTTCTCCCCTCTGGCAGATCAACACTCCCTCCCAACTTGGTGTCATCTGCAAACTTACTGAGGGTGCACTCAATCCCCTCATCAAGATCGTTAATAAAGATGTTGAATAGAAGTGGTTTCAGTACCGAGCCCTGGGGAACAGCACTCGTGACCAGCGGCCAACTGGATTTAACTCCACTGACCACCGCTCTTTGGGCCCGGCCATCCAGCCAGTGTTTCACCCAGTGGAGCGCGTGCCCATCCAAACCATGGGCAGCCAGCTTCTCTATGAGAATGCTGTGGGGAACAGCGTCAAAGACTTTGCTGAATTCCAGGTAAACCACATCGACAGCCTTACCTTCATCCACTAAGCGGCTCACCTTGTCGTGGAATGAAATCAGGTTTGTCAAACAGGATCTATCATTCACGAACCCGCGCTGACTGGACTCGATCCCCTGGCTGACCTTTAATTGATCCGTGATGGCTCCTGAGATTATCCATTCCATAACCTTCCCTGGCACTGAGATGAGACTGACAAGTCTGTAGCTACCACGATCATCTTTCCAGCCTTTTTGGAAGATGGGTGTCACATTTCCAGCCTCCACTCCACTGAGGCATCCCCGGTTAACCAGGGGATGGAGCAGGTCCAAAACCACCTCATCCTGCATTACGCAGGGTAAAAAAAGCTGTGTTTTGCAGCTTTGGGGTAGAAAAATGTACTTTTTGTGGGTCATGATTATTCAGCATTTTGCAAAATAGGCATATTTTGGGGTAACAAGCTGCTGGGTGCTTAATAGGCAAGGATTCCATTTTGGGAAGAATCACGCTGCTTTGGGGTGTGTCACTTATTTTGGGTGCTCATCTGGGGGAAAAGGCACTCATTTTGGGGGAAGAGACCAATTCTGGGTACTGTTAATAATATTTGGAGAGCATTCCTCATTTTTGGGAAGCAACATTCGGCGGCACAGTGCTTATTTTGGTGTCAGGGCAGCTCCCACTGATTTTGGAGAGGGTCACTCATTTGGAGGCACATTGCATTTCTGGAGAGCAGAGTTCATATTTGGGGATAGTCCCTCATTTTGGGGAAGCATAGTTCATACTGGTGGTAAATCACCCAGTTTCAGAGTTCTTCACAGAGGGCGAATCCTTCTGGGGTTGCATCACTCATCTGTGGATTTGAAGCAATTCACTCATTTTAGGAGAATTTGCCTATTTATGGGTTGCCCATTTTGGTGTTATTCACCCATTCTGGTGCTCCACTTGTCCTTCATCACCCTCACCTCCACTGGAAAGAAGCTGACAATAAAATACAGCTGCAAAACCTCATCTCGTAGCACTTTATAATAAATGACATGAATTAATACTAAATTACAATGAATCCTTTATGAAATTACAGATTACATTCACGCCAGATCAGTATTGAAAAACAGGCTTTGCGGCCCATTGCATCACTTTGTTGCTGCGGCCTGTTTGGCTGTGGCTGCTGTTTCTTCTCAACTCTTCAAGAGCCAAAAGAGGGTCAAAAATGGCAATTCATGCAGCCGGCAAAATCCTTCCTTATTACAGAAGAACAAACCCCACACTGCTGGGGAAGAACTGGCAGAAAAAAATCCTTTTTTTTTTTTTTTTTTTTTTTTTTTTAACCCCCACGGAACTGAGAAGATGCCCTGTGTTACCTGGGCTGCTTTTATTCTCACAGTTCAAGGCAGAATTTGCCTTTTTGCTACCACTTGAAACCCCCAAACACAGTGTTTTTGTACAGCTGCCCCCTAACAGCTCACTTGTGGCACCTGGGGGTGAGAAACCCAATGTTTTCCTGCACAGGTGGATGACACTGGGGAGATACCATCTTTTTGAATTTCCTTCCTCCTGGGCAAATCACTATTCAATTTTCGGAGAAAGGCTGCTATTTTATTCCTATTTGGTACCAAAAAAACTCTGGAAAGGTCTTACTCAGCCTCACATCCAGCCCAACACTGCATCCAGTCTCAGTCCTGAAGTTCAAGGCTGAATATTTTTTCCAGATTTGTTGGGTTTTTAGCACATAAATTAAATAGTTTGGGGACTTTCTCCCTTTTCCTGAAAGTCGCACGTAGAGTCACCAAATGGCCACAGCACTGGGGCCAAAACAGGGGGATGTGAGCAATCCTGTGGGTCAAAAGCATGAAACTTTCCTCCAATCTGATAGGAAGCAGAATTGGGAACTCGACAATTTTTTCCCACATGCTGATGTTTATATGAATGACCTTTTTTTGTGGAAGCTTCCCCCAAAAATACATCAATCCTGTTTCTGTTGAGGTTTTTTTGCACCAAGAAATCCAAGAGGATGCAACAGCCTATGGTGGCATCTGAGCACGGTGGGGAAAACAGCCTCCCCTATAAATGCTTTCATTACCAAAAATGAAGGGAAAAGGGAGAAAACAAGGATAAAACCTGAAAGAAAACCTCAAAAAAATCCGGCCACAATATGTGCCTTGTAAACACGTGTCCTTCACTGCCATGTGCTGATGTGGTGGCCCCGGTGCACCCACAGGCAGATGGGGCATCTGTCAGGGCCTCCACAGTTAGATTTTTTCCTCACCAATTTGTTGTTTTCTTGCTGTTTTTTGCCATTCTGGGAGAGGTCGCTTCTGGCGCCATCCATGATTTGGGGAGCACGCAAGGTGAGCTACTCCAGTGAGTCACTGTGGTCCAAGCCAAGGTTAGCGCCAGGCGCAGCTGGGAGGCCACCGGGCTCTTCCTCCAGCTCCTCTTCCTCCTCTTCCTCCTCCTCCATCTCATCCTCATCCTCCTCATCGTCGTCCTCCTCGGTGCCATCTAGGGAGTCCTCGTGAGCTGCAAGCATGGCCTGCTGCATGGCCATGGTGGCCGTGGCTGATGAGAGGGGCTGCAGATTGTCCATGGCAAGGGAGCCTGAAATTAAGCAGATAAAAACAAGGACTCCCTGGCTAATACTAAAAGGACAGAAAAGTGCATAAACCTACAAGAACACAAATGGTCAGCTGTATTACCCAAATACTATGCAGGGGGTCCCACCTGGCCCACCCATCCCCCGAGGTCTAAATCTTACATTTAACTGCTGTGTATTTACTAAATAACAGGAAACTAGCCTTTCAGGAAGAAGATGCCCAAAATGGTTTGTCAGAGTTTCTCTTAATCTTCTTTCTTCATCTCTTTTGTTCATAGAAACATAGAATGATTATAGAATCACAGAATGGTTTGAGTTGGGAGGGACCTTAAAAACCTTGAATACCAGCATCAGGTATTATGCATGGCCATATCCAGGAGGAACAGGAGCCACCAGGACTCTCCTTACCATCAGGATTTGTCCCCGAATTGCCACCTTGCTGCTGAAGGACACCAGCAGCGATGGAGTTGGGCCAGAACCGCTGGGTGGGCCGGTGCTGAGATTTGATTTTCTTGGCTTTAGGGGCTGGGTCTGGGTTGCTGGCATCAAGCATTGGTTGCAGGATGCGCCGGCGGGCATTGATGAACCTTTCCCAGGAAAAAAGCAGCCATTCAATTAAAAATTGTTTAAATTACTATATTAAGTAAACAATAACAATTTAATGAATTGCTTTATTATTTATATATATATATATATATATAATTACAATAAAACCCTTTCAGAAGTGGTTTCATGGTGCAGAAAACTGTTTTTCTATCCCATTCCCCAAGCCATGCACCTCTGTTTCATTTGTCTGCGGCGTGTTAAGCCATTGCTCTAATTTCTCTGGCTGTTAGTTGCAGGAGGGAAAATACTGGCTGCTATGTTGTGATTGCCAGGAGAGGGCATTGGGACTTCACAAATGAACACTGGATGCATAGAATCAGAATACCCTCAGTTGGAAGTGACCCATAAGGATCATCAAAGTCCAACAATTAACTAAGCACACAGCCACTGTACTGCCTAAATATGACCCATAACCATTCACCCAATCCCTAAAAACAGACTAAATGAGACAGAATTGTTCAAAAATCTATAAAATCTGAGAGGTGACAGCACAGGCCACCAGTGTACTCACCAGTTATTGACTTGCAAGAGGGTCAGGTTGGTTTGGGCAGCAATTTGCCTCTTCTCATCCTCCGTGGGATAGGGGTGCTAGAAGATAGATGGGCAAAATGACATCCATGTATGTAAAGCAGCAGCCCCAATCAAGGGGAAAGAACACTTTTTTTTTTCCCATCCCTCCCACCCCAGTTTGATGACTTGTTGCACATTTGTAAGGTACCATTGTCTCCCCTGCATCCTTAACTCTTTACAAATGCTTTTCACCTAAGGCTTTACTTCAAGGAAAAGGAGATTTTTTTTTGTTAGTTTTAGCGATTTTCTCTACTGCTTTCTAATAACGGTTGTCAGAAATTTAGGATTTCAGCTTTAAAACCTGCTCCTTTTTTGGCAAAAGCATTCCTTGAAAAATATCAACTTGCCCAAGCGCTCCTAGAGGTGGCTTCATGCGGGATTTCCCAGGGATGTTTCACTGTTCCCAGTGCCATTTCCCATAATGCCTTATTCCAGCATTTATGGCATATTATTTCCAGCTAAAAATCTCCCAAGCCCAACAAAATTGTGATCACTGATGCTACTAGGATGCAAACCCCATTATTTATGCTGGTGCTTTCAGGCTAAGAAGATAGGACATATGGGAAGACTCAGTGCCTTGTGCTATGCATCCTCATCATCCCTGGGCGTCAAAATTTGCCCAACAAAATGGTGTGCAGGAAAATCTGAGAAGTAGCTGTTAGTCCTCCTGCACCAGGAGATTCAGGAAGGGGCTTTGAGAAAACAGTAAGCGCAGAGTAATCCTTGAGTTAAGCAGGAAAAAGGGATTTTTGTTTTAGCTTACTGCCCTTTTTCCAGCCCCAGTGGTGGGCAAGCAGCCTCCTTGCATGAAAATAGCCCAGTTGCATCCTCTGTGAATTACACCTCCACCCACCAACAAACCCAAAAACTGGATGATTTTGTAATTTCACACTTTGGACAATTCCTGCTGCACCCACAGGGGCAGCTGTTGCACCCAGCCCACCGACTGCTGGAAAAGGGTACATTGGAGCCATTAACTGTACAGAACCCTTTTTACACATCTGCAAACGTGGATGGAAGTCAGACATTTGGCTTATTTCCCCCTCTGGTTTTGTTTGCTAAACATCAAGATCATAATTTTGCCACCAGCAGTGAAAACACGCCTCAAATGCTCCTAAAATGAAAGCAAAGCCACTCTGTGCCTCCAAATACCCCAAACTAAGACAAACCACCACTTCAATTTGTTCATTTTGAAGGTTTTGAGGACATTTTTTCCAACTTCCAAAGCAGCCTTTTTTCCCTTGTGCAGCCCCCCGAAGCATGCTCTGCAGGGTGCATGGTGCATGCAGGGCGTGCTCACCATGAGGTGCTGGAAGAGCCAGGAACGCATGATGTTGGTGGCGTGTTTGGGCAGAACGCCCCGCTTGTTCTTGGACTTCTTGTCCTCGCCATCAAGGAGTGAGGTGAGATCCAGGTTCACCTGCCAGGGAGAGAATCAGTTCAAAAAGGTGATTGGCAACCAAAAAAAAAACAAACAAAAATGAACTCAAAACAGGAGTAGCGGAGTGGAAAAAACAGACTGTGGTGAGAACCTCCCAAATCCCACCACCTTCTCAAAATCTGCATTAAATTTCCATTTTTCCACCAGAATCTGTTTAGTATCTTCATTTAGTATCTTCATTTTTGCACCCAGTTTTGCAAAGGGCAATTGGCTTTTCCCAACTGCAGTGGCACCAGTGGGGACAACGCCATGCCCACTTTCAACATGCAATTAAGGAGGATAATTTACCACAATAAAAATACCACAACAAAACAGAGACAACTATTTTTTACAGCCTGAGGTTAAAACTCTGTGACTCGTTAACTCCTTGTTCCTCACTCTGCTTATTCCAATTAACAGAGGAGAAACGTTGTGGGAAAATGCGCTGCTTTTAGAAAAAAAACAAAAATAAATACACTGGGATGCTGCAAGAGAAGCTTTAATGATGTCGTGGGAAAAGAACTGAAACCTCAGTTAAAAAGATTTTTTTTCGCAGCTCTTCATCAAAACACTTCTCCTGGATGAATTAAACATCAGCCTGGCAGGTCCCACTGCTCCCATGAGCTCCAGATGAATAAATCACGCTGGCGGCGCGGGAAGAGCATCCGGAGGTGCTTGTCCAGGCTGCTCTCCCTGCCCTGATATTCCCCGCGCGTCTGTTTCTTGCACCTCAGAGGGCTTTGCTGCAAGATCCAAGCTGGTGACGGAGAGATATTAAAGAGGGAAAGGAGGAAAGAAGCCTTGAAGGCGTTAAAGCCTGCTGCGGAGGTGTCTCCTCCTTCCAAAATATCCTTTTTTTCCACACGCATTTATGACTGATAGCGTTAGGAGGCTCCTGCCATTAAAAATGTGCATGGGGGAATTGAGGCTGATCTGCCCCCAGGGAGCAGCGTGGCAGACAGTGATATGTTTTGCCCAAATTCCTGAGGAATGACAGCGTTTGTAAGAGACTGTGGATGATGCAGGCTGCGTGCAAACAGGGATGGCAAGTTATCCTTATAAAGCAATTTCTACCCTAAATCATTGTCTTGCTGCAAAAACGCAGAGAAACCCAGCATGGCTAATCAGAAGAGGAATGAAAATAGAACAGATGCCTCAAAGCCACCCCAAATTCATGAGGTTGTGATAACAAAGGGAAAAAAGGAGCACTGCCATATGGGATGGATGATGCTTGTGGTCCCCAGAAGATAAATGATACTGAGGTGTTTTGGTGCAGATCTTTTACCCTACAAAAATAAACCTGAGACTGCAACTTCCCTGGAACTTGGTGAAGAAAGGCAGAGAGACCTTGTGAAATCTGACAGCAGAGCAAGCAACCACACGAAGTTTAACAAGAGAATCATACAATCCTTAAGGCCAGAGAAGACCTCCAAGATCCCCAGCCCCAATCCGCCCCCACGATGCCCACTGACCCCACAGCTCCGGAACACCTCCAGGACTGGGACCCCACCACTCCCTGGGCAGCCTGTGCCAGCACAGCACCACTTCCAGAGAAGAAATGTTTCCCAATATCCAATCTGACCGTCCCCTGGCACAAGGTGAGGCCACCACCTCTCATCCTTAAATGCTAGAAATGCCAGATTCTGCGTGTAGGATGGGGCAGCCCTGGATCCACGTCCAGAGGCCTGGTCACCACTCTCAGACATGTTTTGTGTTTGGGTGGTGCTGTGTGCAGCCAGGGGTTGGGCCTGGTGCCCCCTATGAGTCCCCTCCAGCTCAAGATGCTCCGTGGCTCTAGGATTTACCTGGGCATTGGGGATCTGCAGGGCACCAGGGGCGATGGCTTGGGCAAGGACCTGGCCCTGAGATGTCACCATCGTCACGGGCTGGTACAGGGCTCCACCTGCGGAAGACAGGGCTCGTGGGGGTGCTGCATGCGGAGGGCAGACTCCCCCCAGCCTCCCTGCTGACCCTACCTGGCACAGCGGGCGATCCAGCCCCGCTGCCCATGGCCAGGTTGCCCGGGGGCAGCGCAGCTGCAGGCACCACGATGCCCGGGGGGGGGTTGGAGGTGGCCGGGAGCGCCGCAGGTGAGCTCTGCAGCATCTCCTGCAAGAAAAAGAAGAAAAGAAGATTTCAAAGCATTTTGTCACATGCAATAAGAGCTTTGTTTTCCCCTCCTTCTGTCACAGCTGGAAATAAATATGGAAAAACAAGGAATTATGCTTTGCAAAGCTCCCACTTGTGTCTAAGCAACTTCACCTCTTTGTGCAGCCACTATTTTCAGTAAGTGAAAAAAATACCACGTAGATGACAAGAAGGAAATAACTATATTGTTTTCCTATCTACACATTTCTTTATTTTTTTCTTTTGTCTGGAACTTGATGAAGCAGCTTCACCTCAAAGGGAAAACACCATAAACTGCTCTGAAAAAAATAACCTCCTCCCCCCCCCCCCCCCCCAAAAAAAAAGCACGTGAACAGCACAGATTTCCAATAAGAGCAGCAGAAAATAACCACTATTAGTTTCTCCATGCCAGAATAATAATAAAAAAAAAAGTGACACAGCTCCATTTGACATAATTCCTTGCAGCTTTAAAGTTAACTTCTTGCAAAAATGGAAATTTCTTCCCCAAGTGCTGTAATATTACCATCAGCCTTTCACCCAAGAGCTGCAAATGGAAAAAAGCACAAATAGGTTATGTGATTATTTAGCACAATATTTTGGGAAGTGCATCACAATGGGAGGATACGGAGAACTCAGGCCAAGCACGACAGCCTCCATGATGTGCAAGACTTTTGAGTGTCATGCCAAGAGCATTTAGAAAACTATCCTTCCAAAATAAGGTATGAACATCTAAAATATGCCCACTGTAACTGAGATAAAGCTGCATTCACATTGTGCACTAAAAGGAGGATCTTTTTCTCCCTCTTCCACCCATTTTCCCATTCTGTCTCACTTCTCCATTGTCCTGTTCCTCAGCTGCTGAACAAAATACCAACAAAAGGCATTTTCCACCTTACTTGAACTTACTTCATTTTTACACATTTCATCAGCAAACCTATTTCTTGGTCTAAGAACAGAGGATTTATCTGGAGAACTGATGTATAGTGACACCAGAAACACAAGCAGGGCTGGGTCAGAAAAAGCCATAGCCTCACTTATTGTAAAAATAAACAATGGGGATGATAATTTGAATGCCCAGATCAACTAATTGGACATCAAGTGATTATGTGGGTGCACTGTTCACCAGGAGACATGCAAAACTCTTTTCCTGACTCATTATTCTGCAGTTCCTCAAAAAACGAGAATCCTGAAGACTGTTTTTGGAAGTGCAGTGGGAAGAAATAATTCAGAATATCTGAGTGCAGCAACACTGCGAAACCAGAGGTATCCAATGGAAATGGAGGCTCTGCCTTAAAATAGTTATAGACATCTCCAAGAAGATTCAAAATATGTTTTTAGCATACTAATTGCAAATGCCAGCCAAATTACATTGCCATGATGATTTTAGAAATGTTTTACATTCCAGGACTTCAGTTGGAAAGTTTCTGGCAATTTTTACTCTTGAGCATAGAAAAAAATGCATCACTAGGTGTCTCTACAGATCCATCACAGCACCAAAATTCTGCAGCTCTATGGCAAAACATGGTTTCTCCAAATTAAAAATCACTTCAATGAGGAAATGGACCTGGTATATATGGCATTGTACAAAAAACCACCCCTTTCTCACAGTAATGCTAAAATGCAGTGCTACTAGTGCTGATGGCCTTTTACTTTGTTTTATGATGCAGTGATTTAATTCTGAGTGGCACACATGTTATAAAGCTCCCAACCCCTTCTAATTTTTTGAAAATTTTCTGTGCTTGTGTGAACTGGGAAAAATCTGGGTTAGCTGCAGAAAAAAAGAAACGTATGAGTCTGTTGAGAAAGAGCTGGCCAAACTCAACATGTAGAGGCACAGCTGGATGAAAGGGGGATGAAAACCTGCTGGCTTTACATAATAGAAATCAATACAGCGGCGATTATCCCATTTTGTCAGTTCCACTTGTTGCTTTCTCAGTTTCAGCTCTCATTCTTGTTATGACATAGCCATAAGCAGGCAGTTGAGTGGTCAAAAAAAATTGCCTGAGCCAGAAACAGCTTGCTTTCATAACTAACCTGGTACATCTCCTCTCAAAATGATTGATCCCATACCTTGAAAAAAAAAACACAAACAAAAACAACCCCCCCCCTACAACCCTGTTTGCTAAGAAACCTTGTAGATCAATAATTGATTAATCACATTTCTATTATTTACATTATTTTTGAATTTCTGTAGTAAAGGCTGCTTAGGTGTTACACCTATATTTGGTGTGAGATTAATAGCACAATAATTAGCAAGATCATCCCACTTGCCATCTTTTGAACACGAGTCTCACAGTTCTTCAGTTCTCTGAAGCATCCCCAGCTCTATAAGGCTTCTTTGATGAACAAAAAGTGTTTCCACTGTTGTTTTTCTAAGCTTTATCCATGCAAATTCAAGTACACTCAATGAGCTGAAGCAGTCTGGCACTTGACATTGCTGAGTTGGGTAATTAGAAAAAATTTGCCCTTACGTCAGCAGCGCTATGTCAACCACATCCAGTGCCAAGGAGATGGCGGCTCCTTCTGAGCTGTCACCACGAATAGTTGAGCTCCTGTTGCCTGCTGCAAACCCTCCTGTCCCTGAGCCAGTGTGACAATCCTGCAGTGCGATTCCCCTCCAATTGGGTCTCACCCTTTTATTTAGCAACAATCTCCAAAGCCTCACTTGAATTCTCAACGTTCCTGTCCTGCCTGGAAGGAAAACAGGGGCAGATCCGGGATTTCAGGAATCCGAGGAGCTCAGCCCCTTCTCCAGCACTGGCCCGATTATTTTCCAATTTTGTGCTAATTTTCTGATACGATCCCCACCTCTTTGTGAGATGCTAAATCCTCATTACTTCTCCTGACTGATGCATTCTAATTAGATCAACACTTAAAAAAAAAGAGAGGGAAAAAAAAATCACAATAGCCACAGGACGGCTTTCCATCTCATTAACTCCCTCACTTATTATTTTCATGAAAATTACTGATAAAAACGTGCACCTCCATTTGCTGGGACCAGGAGCTTCGTCGGCTCATATCTAACATCTCTCTCATCACCCGGGATGCGAGCTGTTGCCGTGGCAACGCACAATAATAGAAACTAATAAATTACAAACGAGATGCTCGTTGAGCAATTATTGTTCTCTTTTATGCAAGTGTCTCGCTAATTTTGATCATAAGGAATGCTTCCATAAAGTAGCGAAGGGATAATAAGTCCATTTCCAGAGATTATTAGAAAATAGAGAGAAGCTGGTTTTTTGGTTTTTTTTTGTTTTTTTTTTTTTTTAAGATCAATGATTAAGTGCTTTGGTGCTTTCAGGAAACCTAAATAAGAAATACAACTTTTTTCCATGTTTTCCCTCCTTGTGCTGGGGAAAGAAGGCAGCCCCATGTGTAACGCCAGGAGTTTTGAACTGCGCAGCACTTGGAGCTAAGCAGCTACAAATGATGTCTTTTTTCTCCTTTCCACCACCTTGAAAACACCCTGAAACACCATAAAGAGCTCCTGGCATCTACCCCCCATTAGGGAATAGTGCCAAGAGGTGCTTGGTGAACCTCTGACTAATGGTGTGTTGGCTGCAGTTACTTCAGGGAGGACTGTGCAACCGCAAGTTTCATTTTCCCACTGAAAAAAGCCAAGCAGCACATTATCAGAGGGAAATACATCCCTGATTTTTCTTCCAGACACTAAGGAGAAATCCCCTGTTTTTCTCCAAAAAGACACCAAGGTGCAACTCAATGCCAAAATATGAACAGAAATGGCTGAACTTTCTGGATATCTGTAGTACTTAAGGCACCAAATGCTTCCTTCTACAGGCGAGAATTTGGAGTACAGAAAAACAAATGAAGGTGTTAAGCTTGGTCGTGCTGGTGGTGGATTGCAGGATGTGCTGGAGCAGAGCAACCAAAAAGGGGCATTTGAAATCTGTTGTCCTGCCTTGAAATGAAGATGACAAAGTGGTACTGTAACACAATAGAAAGCATAGCAGGGACAGCAAGGCCCTAGGCTACAATGAGGATATGCTCAAACACAACAGCTGTGGGCACAAAAATAAAAGAAAGAAGTTGTTTACCTTCACAAAGCCTCAGGTATGCAAGGTTCTCCAGCAAAATCACCTCACCTCCACTGCCAGTCCTTAAATGAGGGCTGGGAAGGGGTGGATCCTGGCCCTTCCATCACTCAGCACATTGCATATACCTGAGCTGCCCCAGGCTGGCTCTGCCTTCCTACCAGGTGCTCAATCACTGCTTTAAGCCATGACACAGAACTTCTACAACAGGGACAAATACTATTTTTTCATGAAACACTTGTAACTATTTCGGGAAAAAAAATAATCCTCACCATTTTGCTTCATATGTGCAAGATACATTCTTTTTTTCATGTTTTCCTCAATTTGGGATGGATTTCATTGAATTTCCCAGAGACCACAGGACTTGCAGAACCATTCCTCAACCTTGCGTGCCTTGCACGCTGGCCAAAGTGCAAGGATGGTGATTGCAGGCAGTGTTAAGGTGTTACCTGAGGGTGGAGGCTGATGGAGGAAGGGTTGGGGGAGTAGGGGCCCCCCAGGTCGTTCCTGAGTAGGTTGTCACTGTGCATCTTGGTTTTGAGGCAGGTGATGTAGCGGTTGCAAAAGTCCTTGCACAATTCGTTGACCTTCTCCAGCTCCAGGAGGTGGATGCGCAGCACCTGGATTGCCTTCACCATCTGCACGCATCAAAAGCAGAGTCAAAAGCATTACCATTCTCAGCAAACCAAAGAGAGAAAGAGAAAGCCCCTAGAATCGATATTCTCACCCCAGATCCACCCAGAGCCCATCCCTCTGCTCCCCTGCCTTTCTTCTCCCTCTGCAGCTGTGCTATCTCTGCGATCCCAAGAGGTGAAATTCACAAAAATTACTGTCGCTTTCATGGGAATTTCTCCCAGAAAATTCCGAGGCAAAGCCCTGATGTAGCAACGTGTTTGGTTATTCTCCAGAGACCACTTTCTCTAACAAGATTATGGGGCTGCAGCACTGCCGTAAGCTGTTGCTGGTGCAAAGCCTGGGCCTCATTAAAACGTACCCCATAAATGTTAAAAAATTTACACATGAAACATTCCTCTTGCCGAGCTGAAACCTTAAGTTTTACAGCCGCTGTTTGAAATCTTGCATAATATATAAAATTTCAGCTATTCACTCCGGGGCAATAAATCCAGTTTTATGTAACAAAGAGTCTTTGCATTTCAAAGGGTGTTTTTAACTTGCAAATTTTAGTGGTCATCTTTACAAACTGTGAGATGTCGAGGTTGGGAAACATCCCGAAAAATCCAAGGCCAAACTCAGGTGGAGGCTCCACAACGGAAAAAGCAAATTTTCAGTCAGCAGACAGCAAGAACAATGGGGCACGGATGGAAAACTTCCCTTTTTAATGCTTTTTTTCTGCACATTTTCCTTCCTCTGCGCTTGGCACGAGTGAAGCGCAAGGTGGAGGCGTCGCGCCCCAGCTCTCCGCATCCTCCAGGGGCTCACGGCCATGAAAGTCAATATTCAAGGGCAAAGGCAAGAGGACCTGACACATATATGTATAAAAAATAAATCTCTCAATTATCTCAGCTCATTTGCTTAGGGTCTCATTTTATGTCCCTGCTCCGCTGCGCCGTATATCTGTCCGGATAAAGAGTTACAGTCCGTCGGCGTACGTGCGCGGGGTTGTAAAAAATACAGATGCTGAATTAATTGACTGTGTGGCACTCGGCAGCTGATTGAGTTGATAATGGTGAGATCTGACCTTTTTCTAATTTCTAATTACGTGCATCTCGGCAGCGAGGAATACATGACTCTTATTCTAATGATAGCTAATGCCGCCGGCCTTTTCATCCCCACTTCGCCATTGTTGATTTCCAGGGAATCAATGGTGTTAAAAAAATGCAAAAAAGAAAAAAAAAAACAACAAAAAAAAAGGAGAATGAAAACAGATTTTGGATTGGAAACATCTGATGCACATTCAGCCCTTAAATCTGCACTGAAACGATCCCGAACACCGCTTTTTTGGTCATTCATCCCAGAGCAGATTTGTTTCTTGTCTACAAGACGTTGCAAAACAGGCTTAGTAATCTGCAAACAGTTTTGCACATCCTGTAATTTTTTGGGGGGTTTTCCACAGACTTCCAAGCCAGTCTTGAATTGAGGATCTCACCAAACTCTCCTCCAAATGCTGAAATGAAGTCCAAAAGATGCAGCATTTTTATCTCGTAATTATTTCTTGCTTTTTAGGAAAGTGCTTCTTTCTGCACTTGGATGAGCATTGCTTGACTTTTTTCTCCTCCTGCCAGGTCGTCAGACAAACTCACTGCCTGCAAATTGCCTGATTTTGTTGCTTTCCTGGGATGGAAATCCCTCTGCAGAGAATCCCAGAGGCCACACCATTCCCCATGTAAGTTTCCTCTTTCAACCTTAAAATCTCCTTGTGAGGCAGTGAGTGCACCAGGATGGGGCCAAGGATGTGGTCACCCACATACCTCTCACAGAGATCATGTGTGGAGGTTCCTGGAAATAATAATGGGATTTGGAGATATTCCATGAAGTCCCTGCAAGACAAAAAGCTCCATCCCAAGCAGCCCTTGCACGCAATGGCTACAAGAAAATTTACAGTGGAGAAGGCACTATAAAGAGCTCAAAGTGGCCCAAACCACTGATAAGCATTTCCTCTTCTGGAAAAGGCCTTTACTTTGCCATGTCTGTTGGACAAGAGCTGCCCATCATGAATGAGCTGAGACGGTGCCAGCAGAAAGTGGATGGGACTGCACTCATACTGAAAACAGAGATTACAAGTTACGGGTCACAAACTGTTCACCAAGCTTGGCTGATTCCCAGAAATGTGTTGACTCTGCAGTGCATGTGTGAGAAAATCAGGCAAAACTTGGGCTGGAGTTTGTTCTTGCTGGAGATGACCTCACAGAAAGTCCTGGAGAAAAAAAATCTTGCAGGGTCCGTGCAGAACACTGTTAAGGTGCCCAATATCATAAACACTGCCCCAACATCATGTCAAGTTGGTAGACTCCCATAACACATTCCTCATCCTCTATTCCAGCCCCAGCCCACAGAGGCCCTACACGAAGCCCCAGCACACTCTACCAGGTTGTCCAGCTCAGGGTCATCACTGAAGAAAGGTTTGTGCTCCTGCTCCTGCTGGTGGACAAAGTTCTCAATGTCGACGTCGAAGCTGGCTGAGGTGATGCACTCGGAGCCCTGGGTTGCCTGCTCACACTTCTCAAAGAGCAGCGTAAGCAGCGGGAACAGCGGGTGCCTGTGAACAACAGAGCAGGCACCCCATAAATCCAGCTGTTTTCGTTCTTTCATCTGTTCTTATCCTAATCCATCTATCCATTCCCTCCCAGCTTGCTACAGCCTGGTGATGAAAACCTCATGCCAGTGTTGAATGTGCTTTCTCTAGATCAGGAAAGAAACAAAGTTTTAGAATTGCTGAAGGCACCATTTCCCCTCTAGAAGTGGCGTGTCTCAACATCATGGCACTTTCCAGCATTGCACCAGTGCTGACTGTTTCAGAACGGTTCTGCAGTGGACAAAAACGTTTGGCTTCAAGGAGGTTGCCTTGGCACTGGAATCGACATCTGCACTGGGATCCAAGCCAAGAGGCTCCCAAAAATGTCGGTCAGCTGGGGATGATGGATGGGGCGGGCATGCATTTCTACATCCTTTTATACCAAGCATCCGACTTGCTTTTGCTTTATGGGTTGCTACTGCATCCCGATGGCTCTTTGTGACTATTTTGAGCACATCTGTGTTCAAGATGAGGTAGAAGGTGGGCCAAACCTCACTTTCTTTTTAATATGAGATTTCCCTTTGAGGACAGGCTTTCCTTTCTTGCCTTTCTTTTTGGAAATCCATCAGTGGGATTCCAATTGGGATTCCTTTTAATAGTTATTCTAAATCAACACAATATAAAATACAAATATACATGTTAGTGCAAAGCACACGGAAATGAAGGACACAAAGATCATGAGAGAGCACAGGGAGCTTCTCTGGCTGTGCAACTTTAAAAATATAAAACTATTAAAAATAGAAAACATAAAAAATATAAAGCTATTAAACTCTGAGGGGAGAAATGCAAAATGCTGCCATGGGATTGCTTTGCCATCCCCACAGCAATGGCACCCCAGTTATTTCAGTATAACAGGATTTGCTGCACCCCCTTCAGATAAGTACTCTTATAAACAGGTATACAACAATTTTGGGGGAAAAAAAGCAATTTTAGCCCAAAGGAGGAATGATACTGGCTCGCTCCAGGCTTCCTGTGGGTCTCTTCCAAGCCAGAGTCAGGGGAAGGGGTTAAACCCCTGGGATAAGTCTTCATTTGCAGCCACTAATACTGCAGCATATTATGGTCTAATCTGGCCTGATCCCAGTTTAATGCAAGATTTGCCAGGGCTGGAGCAGTCTGCGGGGGCTGGGGGAATCATTCCATAATTTCAGCCGCCCTGCCGGGGCTCAGCCGAGGGATATGAACGGCAAATTCCAAGCAGCAGCATGAATTACTGGCCTTATGAACCCACGGCTCGCAGCAGATGCCATTTCGAAAACCAGCTAGGAAGAAAAGGCACGAACCAACCTGGTACGAAGGAACAAAATTACCCCAGGGGTTGAGGTTGTTATAGGGGGGAGATGCATTTTGTAGCCTCTTTGCTTTGAAGGGGTGTTGGTGCCAACAGGGATTAAAGCCACCACTGACTTCACTGCGCTTCGCTGTGCTCATAACTGACCTTCAGGAATTGCCTGTGGGATGGGGAGGCAGTGTGGGTAGCTTTTATTTGGAAGGAAAGTAAACCAAAATAAATGATACGATAATAAAATATAAAAATGTATTATATATATATAAATATTTCGAACAACAACAAAAAAATCATAATTAAATAAAACTAAAGGTGGACATGAAAAACCCCTAAGCTAAGGAAAATCACCAAAGCCCTTTTCAAGCATGGTGTTCAGGAGCAGTGAAATTAGGGTTTCTGCCATGAGCTGGGTGCTGAATTGTTGCAACTGTTTGTTGGTTCCTTTTGCATGCAAAAATTACACAGATTTCTCCACTTTCAGCTTTTCGATGGCTGCTAAACACAGGAGAATGGGACAGGCACCACAGGGTTGTGGCACAGGGGATCTGGATGCCGCCCTCGATGTGAAATATGGGATGGGCATCCAGGTTGCACGAGGTCCAGGAGGATTTCCCCCATCACAGGTGTCACAAAGGCCGAGAATCACCACCACAGCACCAAGAAGAGTTTTGGGATGGAAAAATTTGCTTTGGCAACATCTGCTTTTGCAAAAATCTGTGTTTTTGGGGCAATCCTCTGAATCTGGAGCGTGCACAGGTCAGCCTTTCCACCCCATTTGCCACCACTCCAAATAAGCAGGAGAAGCCGCTCGTGCAGCGATGGCACCGAACAAATAAAGGGCTGAACCTGACATTTTCCTGCAGGAGAGGTCGTTGGCAGCCGCTAATAAAAAGGATTTGACACGGGCTAATAAAGAGAAATGAATCCCTCTAATGGCCTCATTTCGCACATTCAGCAGGGTGCTGCTGCAGGCTGGCAGTGCGGGCACAGGGAGGGCAGCGCGGCACGACGCTCGCTGCTGCTCTCTTTCCAGCCCCAAAATGCATTTTTTTTCTCCAAAAGCAGGTTGGCAAAGAGACACAGACTTTTCCCACTAGGAAATCCAGAGCCCAGAGAGCGCAGGAGTGGTTCTGAGTGCATGACAGCCCAAAATCTGAAGTGATGCTGCTGGGCTATTCCCCAGAATGATGCTCGGTCGTATAGCAAAGAGCAAGTAGATTCCTTTCCTTTTTTTTTTCCTATTTTTTAATGGACGATAGAACTCCCTCTAGAGCATAAGATCCAGTGGTGACTTTGTGGTCATTTGCCCATCGCCTTCTATCTTTCTTGTTGCATTTTTCTGGCAATTTCCCTTCAGGTTGATCAACCAATGCACAGAGCCAATGCCTTCTGCCTTTGAAAATTAACAAAAATCCATTGCTGACAGTGGAGGATGCAGCACGGGGTGGCACGCAGCCAGCTGCTGAAAGTACATTTGATATCAAATGACGTATATTTATCCTACATGAAATGATGCATATTCAGATTTCACATGGGACTGGAACTCAATAGGCCAATATGCCACAAAAAAATTACTTCTATGCATTTTTATAAATGCATGGCATCTCCAAACCACAGCCGTGGCTGTTAGCTGGGGTTATTCCTTAATATTAAGCCTTAATCCTAATTATATGACAGTATCATAGATCAGAATCATAGAATGGCTTGGATTGAAAAGGATCTCAAAGATCATCCAGTTCCAACCCCCAACATCACTGCTATATCATACTGCATACATTATGGTATTATCATTAATTACATATCACTTATATAATTACATTATTTGCATAATCATTATATTACTTATTACAACACTTTATACATTATAATATGATGTATTATTGTACCCACAGCTAAAAATAAGGGGGCAGGAGGGGTCCAGCCACTGCCGCTTGCGTACCACATGGATGCACAAACTGCACGTTCCGGGTTCATGGCTGTTTTTGCTCCTCCTGAGCGCATTTTCTGCCTCAAATGACAGTTTTACAAAAAGAAAAAAGATGAATTTGGATTTTGTGGTGTTTCTGGAGGGGTGTGGTGCTGCTGGCCATGGTGCTGGGTTGGCCAAGGAGCTCCGTCACCCTGCATTATTATTGCTAAAAAGGAGCTAAATGCGAACCCACCCATTCCCAGGCATTAATGAATGCATCTGAATGTTAGTGGGTTAACAATGCATAGTGATTAACTATCGGTGCATTGCTGCATTCATCAATGCATTAATCAGTGCATTACCGAATCAATGCACTCCCAACGCACAAGAAAAATGAATGCAGGAACAAACTGCCAAAGGATTAACTACTGCCCACGGCCGTTAGCTGGCATCACCTGTAGACAGCTCGCTTGTCGGCCTCCAGCTGCGCCTGCGGGTCGCCGGCTGCGGGGGGCACGGCTGCGGTGGGAGCCGGCGCGGTGGAGAGGTGCACGGGCTGAGCCTTGCTGGGCTGCTGGGCTGTGGCCGTCATCTGAGGGGAAGGGGAAACAGGAGAGAAAAAGCGGTAATGTGAGGGGGAATTGCAGGTGCTCTATGCTAAGTGCTCCGCAGTCCCTGATAAAATCTGCGCTGCTCGTCTCCTGCTCTCAATGTTCAAAGAGAGCAGGTAGGGCTGTCAGACACACAGCCTTTCTGCCTTCTCCCAGAATCACACCAGCTTCTGCCAGCCCTCTGTGTGCTGAGCCCAGAGATGAGTCATCTGAAGCACTTAGAGCAGACAGCCAGAAAAGCAACTTTTTGTGCGCGTGTCCCAAAGGCCAACACTGCCCAAATGGCTGCTGTGAAGGGGCGCGAAATCCGCCAGCAAAATATACATGAGATGAACGCAGTAAACGACTGTGTTAGCGAATGCCTTGCTTTTCAAAAACGTGACATTAATTTAGGGAAACATGCATCTAAAAAGCAAGACCAAGCTCTGCCAGCACGTGTGCAAATTGCTGCATGTCCTCCCAGCATCACCCCAAAGCATCCCAAAATCTCCGTGCATAGGGTATGTGTCCTCGCTCGAATGTTTTGGGGTGATTTCCATATTAACTAAAATTAAAATTAATGATTAACATTAAAATTAATGATTGCATTAGGGAAATCTGCATTATTTCCAGCCCCTACAGTTCCGTGTTTCTGTGATTCACTGCCAGGCTGTAGTCAGATCTGACATAAATGACAAGATTTAGTTAAAAGAATAACAGCTGGGGGAGAAGCATAATCTCTCTGGGGCCAAATCAATCAGCACCCCAACTCGTGTGGTTTGCAACTCAAAATCTCAGTGCAAAATGAACTCCCTGAGTCGATGTTTCACCTGTTCTTGCTCTGGAATTCTGTACAAATTAGCATTTGTCTGTTTTCCTCCATAAATCTTCCATCCTCCCCCAAGCTGCGTAGCAAAAAGAAGCCTCTGTCTCTGGCTAAATACTTTCTCTGTGTACATAAAGAGGCGTGTATACGTGCAGATGCCTACAGTTTTGTCCAGCACAACTCACCTCTGCACTCAGACTCTCGGCACGGAGAAACAGATTTCTCACCTCGATTAAAAGCTGCACGGACCTGTGCCAAAGCGCCCGCTGCTTTTGAAATGTTTGACTTTAATATCTCCTGCCTGACCTTTCCCTGCTGCCACGGCACTTTTTAATCTCGGTTATTGTTCATAACTCCAAAGTTTGGCTCCTGGAAATTCACCTGGCACCGTTTAATTTCTAACACTCCCAGCGCGGAAGCTGGCTGGGTTACTTCATTTTTCTCCCTTTTCACTCCCAGAGGGCCAAATAAATGGGTTTGTGGGACTTCACCCATCAGTTGGGGTTTCTCCCTGCTTTTTTCCAGTTTTTGTACAAACCCAAATAGAAAGCACTGACTGTGTACGGCATTCCAGCCACGCCGTTAAATACCTCCACTTCCTTTCTCATTTTCCCTGTTCCTCTCCCTGCCAGCTCCGCTGAGAATTACTTTAAATTTTGGGGGGTAAATGGATTTTGTTTTCCCCTTTTCCCCTTTCTTCACTTGAGCACTCATTTACCGGGACACTGCAGACCATTCTGTGTCCTCGTCGGCAGACGGAGCCCCCAAATCCTGCCAAGTTGGCTGCGTGCAGCTGAGTCTGCAACTAATTGGGCTATTACTCACAGAAAAGCCTCCTCTGCGGCTGTTTCGAAGCCATTACCTCACCTTGGACTAAAGAAAATAATCCCACACCTCATGCAACCTCTGATGAACAGCACGGTGGTGCCAAGTCAGAAAAAAATAGGAGAGGCTGCTCCAAAGCAAAGCGTTTGCAGACAGACCGGGGTGCGGGGCAGGGAGGAAAACAGCCAACAGTATGTGCACAAGAGAGGGAAAAAAGCATAAAATTGCCATGCATTCGTGCAATGGTAACTGCTGGGTAACAGCAGGGCTGAATTCTGTGCAGAGAGCTGAAGAGATTTTTGTGGTACTGCATCACCTCCCGGTTGTACTCCTGTTGGTGTTATAATCCTCTTTTTGGTTCTTTAGGACGAAAATGCTTTGCCAGAGCCAGTGGCAGCACGCCTGGCACCTGCAATAATCCCTTTTGCTCCACATTTACAAGAACTGCAGCCAAATAGGTCAGCTCCAGCCAGCAACCCCAGCGAAGGTGCTCGAGGCAGGGCAGCCTGCTGCATACGATCCTATTCACAGGGACATTTCTCAGCGCCTTTGCATGAAATCCATGTGCCATTTATGCAGGTTCCAAGCCCAGAACTATGCTGAGGACCCCAGGAGAGGGACTCACTGATCCTACAGAAAAATTGACATCTCTGCTCGATTTTTAACCTGCAACAGCTGCAGATTTTCTGGATTTGTCCGTGACAAATGCAACACCATTTTAAAAATGGCTTCTGAGGGCAGGCTTATTTTCATCAGGTCCTGTGCTGAAAATGAGATTGTATTTTTAAAATAACCTCTACTCTGCTAAATATATTTGCCCAACTTTGACAGTGAAATGGCAGATGACTTTCTGCTTTTTTCTTTCTTTTAATTTATTATGGAAAACACATGGATTTCTATGCAGAGTCCTAATTTCCAACAGGTAGAGTTGCTCAGCGATCACGCTTGGTCTCAATTACACCGTTACGTGCTGGTAGCAGAACCAGGAGATTATTACAGCGTTTTTTCCCTCGTAAGGCAGCTGTTCCCACCACTTCTGCTTCATTTTTGCACATTTCCGACAGTGAGGTTGATTGCTTGCGTGGCCTCTGCAGCAACGATATTAATGCAAAGCTCCCCCAAACCCCTTTTTTACCATTTTTCTCCCTAGGATGGTCCCTTTGATAATGGGGAGCTTTGCAATGTCAGTTGTAACTCTTGTAATTGATGGTTCAACCTGTTTTCTTATTTAACACAGACCTCCCCATATCTGCTGTATCTTTGGGGAGAGGAATAAACATGCAATTTGCTTTTCTAAAAGCTAGAAATACCAAATCCTACCATTTTCAGGTGAAAAGCTCACAGCAGCCACAGCATTCAGAAAAAAAAAAATAACAAACACAAAACAAAGTGCTTTTTGCTGCAGCATTCCTCCTAAAATGAAGGGAAAACACACAAGCATCCCCTTCGAAAGGATGAAAAAGAAAGGGTTTGGGTGGCAACAGCCCCAGAGATCCCCAAATGCAATGTTCTAAATGAAAATGAGGGCACAGAAGGGACAGGGAAAGGTATAGGGTATGTCTCTGTAGGATGCCATGGAAAAGCTGGGCTATTTTAAAAGTCCCTTAAATTGCCCATTAGGACTAAATCGGCGTCCCAGCTCCCTGCTGCGTAAGTGAGAAAGGCGCGGCGTTTCGACAGGGAGGCACTAAGAAAAAAAGGAAAAAGTGAGGGGAAAAAAAAAGCCCTGAGCGGAGCAGCGGAGCGAGCAAATGATGACACAGAAGTTGGAGGAGCCATAAAAGCCCCACCGAGGCATCATTTGCAAAAGTGACCTTTTCCCACCGAAGGAGACGAGCTGAAAGGAGGCCCGGGTGGCTTCAGGGGAGTGCAGAAGTCACGGCTAGGCAGCAATGTATTTATTTTCCTTGCAGGAAATGGTCTCTATTTTTTTTTCCTGGGGAGTATTTTGTGCTTTTGCAGCCACACAGGGATGCAAATGGTGGAGAAAGGCAGCAGAGCTGAGCTTTGAAGAAAACACAAAATGGGGGGAAAATTCACATTTTTCCATATAAGCTGCCTTAAACACGGTGCCAGTTCAGTGCTACATCTGGATGATCCACATTCAGTCTCAGCAGACCAAACCAGAAATACAGATTTGCCCCCCAAAAGCTTGGAATAGGCTGCAAAGAGGAGGGCCAACCCCAAAACCCAACCTTGCCAGAGCCCAAATCCCCACATCCAGCACATTGGGGTGCACTGGCTGAGTTTCTCTTGGACCAAATTCCTTTTCTTACAATAACTAACTCTGTAATGACACTTGGAAAGGAGGTTATTCGACTCCTTGGAGCAACACTGTAGATGAAGTCTCTTTTTCCCTGCGACAGCTTGCCAAAAATGCCATAAAATCAATCAAAACGCCTTTCAAATTGCCTCCAAAGCCACCTCACTGCAGAACCCACGCTGCAGTGGGAGAGGATTTTGGGGGGATGGGGGACACTCACCTGTGGGCTGTCTTGGTAGGGAGGAGGGGGCACCGTCTGGGTGGCCATCATCGTCAGAGCCGGTGCCGGGGAGACATGGTGCATCCTGGGCAGGAGTCACATTGAGAACCTGCGGGCAGGGAACGGCTGCTGGATTTGGGGGAAAAACACCCCGAAATGGGGCTTTTCTTCCCCAGGAGGGAAAAATAACAATAAAAAGGAGACAAGGAACGGAAAGGAGAGGTGACACCCCTCACACGAGCACAGAGCTCTCTCCCTGTGGGAAACCCAAAATGATTTGTTGACCCCTAATGTGACAGTTATCTGAGATTTGTCATTTTGGATGGGAAATGCATTCAGGGAAAGGTGACGAAGGCCACAGGTGAGAGCAGCGCTGCTGGGGCCATGGGCTGCCTTGGGTGGAGCTTGCTACGCTTTTCCCCATAGGAACCCTGGTGCACGCAGGGCTCTGCTTCCTCCTGTGATCTGTGGGAGGAAATGTCCTCATCCATGGCAGAGGAACAGGGATGCTGAGGTGGGCTCGGGGTCTTCAGATCATTCCCTGCAGTTGTCTGGGGGAAGATTTGCAATATTCTGCCCTCCTCCGTGAGACTTTGGGCCTTGCAGAGCCCACCAGGCACCACAGGCACGAAGGCACTGTGCTGATGCAGAAAGCTGAGCATTGTGCATGGGATCAGCATCAATCGCCGTTATTGTTTTGAGTGAATAAATATGAAAAATATTTGTTTACAGATATAATAATACAGGATTACTTTTCACATGCTTTGCATGTCCCTTGAATAGCTTAAGAGAGCACATCCAAAATGGAGGGCATTGAGAATGTAGAGTGGGGTCAGCGCGTGACGCAGACCTCCTGAAGACAGCATTTATGGGATTAAAATCGTAAAACCACAGAATCTCCTGAGCTGGAAAGGACCCACGAGGTTCATGGAGTCCAACTCCTGAAATGACGCTTTTATCTTTTTTTACTCTAATAAAATTATCTGCTCCTGAGTGAACCGGCAGCTTAAAATCTTTGGGGTCAGATGTTAAATCCTGCCCTGCAGGCACACAGGCAGCCCCATCCTCGAGGGGTGACACCGAAGCCCACAGGGGAAACCTCACCAGAAACAGCTGCAGCCGGAAAAAGCAAAGAGCTCGGCATCCCGACAGCCCAGAAAAAAAAACGGGAAAAAGGCCCCTCAGAGGCTATTTTGGGGCAAAACCCGCAGCTGCTGTCCGTGCCTGCAGCAAGCCTACCGTTAGCAAGCAGCGCTGCACCGCAGGGCGCAGGCTTTGTATCCGAATGTATTCCCAGAAGGTGGCAGTCCAGAGCCCGAATTAATTGCCGAGTATCCCCCAACCTGCTCGCCACATCGAGCAGCGCTTTGAGGCTTCACAGGTGTTGATTTGTGTGGAGAACGCGACTTACGGCCAAATATAAAAAGGGATAAGAATGAGAGGCAGCCGTCGCCGACAGCGCTGTGTTTATGTGGGGCCGCAGCAGCCGCGGGGCCCCGTGCGGTGCGGAGCTGTCAGCGCTGCCCTGCAGCCCCGCGGATTTATGTCAGCGCTGCGCCTCTCCCCGGAGCAGCCAAAGTCCAATCGCTGCTGTTTTAGGTACTAATTCTTACTGTTTGGTCATTATGTTCCCCCTTAAATGTTTTTAAACTGGTGTGCCCTTGGCTATAGGCATCCAGAAGAGGAGAGGAGAAAGAGAAGGGGTGCAGAGCAATAGCCCCTGCAGAGCATCTCAGATCAGTGATCCCACCTTGGGCAAATGGTGAATTTTCGGGGCTGGGAGCCGACGAGGGCAGGAGGAGTCAGCCTGCTCCCGAGGCATCACACACAAATGAGAATTTTTGAGCAATAAAACTGATAAATGCTCTTTTCATTTCCGGAAGGGGTTTTGGCAGCAATCTGAGATCAAAGTATCCTAAATTTCCTTATGAAATAAAAATTATTTCATTTCACTGTAACATTGCCATTAAGTTGGAAACGTATTTCCCACAGAGCTCGTGCCGACCTAAAAGAGTTGCAGCCCAGAAAGATTTATAGGCTGCTTTTTTGCCAGCCATCTCTTATCTCTCCTTTCAAATTAACGTAATTAGAACGAGTTGAGAAGTCATCTTTTCAGGGTGGTCACCAATGCTTCAAAATGTTAAAAAAATCCAAGTATCACTGGCAGTCATCGCCATCCTGGAGGAGAAGAGGAAATAATCTCTGATCCGCCCGATTAGCAAAACTGCTGTGAAAATGCATTAGAAGAAGCCCTGAATGTGAAAAAATCGTCGCCTTGGACTCCACGTTACCAATTTTTTCAGATAACGTTAATGTTGGCTTTGCAAAATGCAGCTGTTGCTTCCAAATCAATGGAAAACGGGGATCATTTTTTCCAGCTAATTCAACAGCTTCTCCCTGCAGCGTGTGGTGGATAACTGAGAGTTCCACGTGGAAACCATGCAGACAGGTTTTCATGCATTTCCCATTTTCCTCCTGACGTTGCAAAATTATTTGAGACGGTTGGGAGTGTGGTTCCACCACAGGAGGGGATTTCACCCTTCCAAAGGGTGTTTTCTCAGACGGCTCACGAGGACAGCGTTGGTCATGCTCTGCTCACAGCAGGCTGCCAGAGCTCAGTGCTGCTGTCTCCACAGAGGGCTTCTGCACGCTGATGTTTATGATATATGCATTCATTATTCACATATACATAAGTTAAAATGAAGAAATATGGCTGACAAGAAGGGAGATGCACCTCCAGAGGACAATATATCCTGCTGTGAAACGCCAGCCAGGACAGGTTCACTCTCTGCGGGTGACAACATCTCTCTGCTTGCCTGTGAAGTGACTCAGGAGCGAATCCCTTGGTCCCACATGCAGCATTTCTGCCGTATCCCTGTTGCCGACCGTCTGTTTTTACTGAAATTTGCCCATTTTCCTGAGAGCAAAAGTTTCCAGCTGCAGGTGAGCATTAGGTTTTCACAAGCTACGAAAGCAACCCTCTAACATCACGTCTGATGATGTCAATTCATCAGTGGTCAAAAATGGGGAAGAATCCTGTTTTTCAGGGTATTACCCATTCTCAATTGGTTCTCATGATTCTTCTCTTTCTACCACATGGGCTTGCATGCTGCCTTGAATGTGGATAGATGCTAGAAACATCACGGGGATAACAAATGTTTCTATTTTTTTCACAACGTTTGGTAGCCAAATTTCCTCTGCTCAATTCCAGGAGGATTTCTGCACCGCTAACAGCCCAGGCGCAGCTTCCCTACGTACTGAGCTTTGACAACTTCCTGGTGTCTCATCACTGAGTTATTTCCCAGTAAAAAAAAGATGAATCAAGGCTGGGCTTCTGCTGCTGCCGCTGTGTAACGCAGTTTGGGATTTGGTATTTCTGCAGAATAAAATCCAGGGCCGGAGCAAACTCCTCTTCTCCTGAAAAGGCTTTTGACCAACACAAAGGCAGCAGAAGGGGAAAGGGAGACGCTGCGCCGCATGGCACGTCCCAAAAACAGCTCAGTTCCCCACGGGATGGGGAATCTCCCCGTTGTGGAAGGGAAACAGCGTTAAGATATTTGCAACCCCCCAGCTGCACGGGAAGGAGTAGGTGTGGGAGGGGGAGCTGCTGTGGTGCATTTCTGATGAGAACAACAATTACCGCTAAATATTTCTCTTCTCTCCGAAGATACCCATCCCCGCTGCCGACTAAAATGCTCCAGGGATATCTCTGCAACATAAACACAAGAATAAAACCTGCAAGAGCCAGTCAGAGCTTTAGTAGACAAGGTTAATGTACCTTGAACGGCAGCATTAAACAACTTTGTTCTTTTTGTAAGTGGAGAGCTGAGATACCTGCGCACGTTTTAGTGTTACTTTTAAAGAGGGAGATCCTTAAAGCACCTTCCAAAAAAACTGGCACAGGGAAACATCAAAGAGGTTTCTTCAAAGCAACATGAAAATACTTGAATTTTGGGCAATGCAGCCCCCGGCCCAGCAAAAGTTCCCAAAAGAGCAAATTGTGATATTTTTTTTTTTTTTTGGAGGGCAAATGGAAAACCTTTGAAGTGAAACATAGCGGAGGAGCCTAAAAATGTACAAAATTCCCCTTGTCGGACACAAACTGTCCAGGAAAAGGTTCTGATTGCTTTGAGAGCATTAGCAAAAATCGGGAGAGGATTAATTTTCTAGCAGTTCTTCACTGCAAGCAATTAACTGTGAATAATTTATGATCAAAATCTATCCTGATGCTTTCAAAAGTTGCCTTGCACACTTCAATTTCAATTGCAACTTGCTAATCCCATGACATAGGAATTGCTGTGCAATCATATTTCCAACACCCAAACTCCAAATTTCAATCACATTCCAGTCCTGAAATAGGAAAGTTTCACCCCAAAGTCCCAACCAGGTTCAGACTTTGACACAGAACTTCTTGGAGGACAGAGGAAATCTTCCTCAGCAAAAATGGATTGCTTTATACAACATATACAACATCAGCTTTGTTATTCCATCCCACAGCCCATCACCAGTTTTTCAGTCAGAGGATCAGATTGGCACCGGTGGACAGAAGCCACCCACAACCTCAGTGCTCCAAAGATCCCAGCAAAGATCCGGCCACAAACTACACAGGACTGGGTAACACACGTCGCCTATTTGCATCAGCTTCATCAAATCCCCCAGCACACGTGTGAGTGATGGCAACACCAGCAGGAACAATTTTTGGTCATGTGGCAGAGACTGGATTAAAGCAGCAGACCTACCCCAATTGCAGAAATGTGGATGGAAAGATACGCGCAGGAACCAAGGCAAAGATTTCCCTGCCCATGGGAATCACCAGAAGCAAAGCAATGCCATGGAACACCCATAAAACCCTTTCCTCGCTTAAATCTTCCTCATTTCTTACTAACTCCTGCTAACACGCTTGCAAATTTTCCCTTTGGGAGAGTGAAAGGAATCCCTTTGGAGCTGGCTGCTTTCCTCTTTCCCATATGGCAGATAAATCAGAGCTCCCAACTTGCTGCACTTCTGCTTCACATCCCCCTCTTGCAGCTCTCTGGTCTTCTGGTCTTTATCACCACCAGGGAAATGGGTCTGGGTTTTTTATTCTAATGCAAAATTCCTGGTGATAGATGGCTCTCCAGGGCCTTCTCCATCTTGTAGCTCTCCTCTGGACACCCTCTGATAGTTTTATGTTTAACCTAAGAAGAGATTCCGAGGTCAATCCAATCCACACCTTTAGTAGAAACGGGGCCAAACCTGAGATCTGGAATAATGAGAAATTCAGCCACTTCGCCACATACTTAATCCTGTTTTATTTGGCTGATGGAAGGTCACTAGTGAGGATTGAGGCTGAAAGGGCAGTCTGGAGAAAATAATCCTGTCATTATTGACTGCCGTTTATTAAAAGGGCTTTCAGAGCAGGCAAAACTCAAAGAAAAGATGCAAAAGGTTTTGCACTGTGCTTTGCCATGCAGCCTCCAAGTCAAGCTTCACTTTGGGCTGAAAGAGCAGAAAGAACTGAACAGCTTTTGGGTTTTACCCTGAGATGCTCCAGCCCTCATCTCCGCTGATTTAGGAGGAGATCAGGCTCCTTTCCAGGACAGCTGCCCACACTGAAGGCATCTCAGTTTTCAAGTTAATATTTTCTTCAACAGCCAAAGATTTTTCTTTGCTTCTTTAGGAGGAAAGTTGCAGCCAATGTGGATTTATTTTGTCACCCTCTGGGTGCCTCCAGTGTTGGCACAGAGGAAACACATTTGTCACTCTGTCAGGCCCTAATTTTAGCGATTGGGGTTGACTGAAGAACTGCGAGATCCTTGGTTTCATGCACATCTTATTTTAAGTTCTGCATTTAAGTTATTTTTAACTGGTGACCATTTCTCCATATCCTACTGAGCTGCCAATATTTCGCAGTGATAACAGCCCATATTTGGGGTATTTTTATGACAAAATCTATGTTTTCCTCTAGTCTAGTCGTGGCTTACAGCTCTTAACAACGTGCTCTCAACGCTTGAGCTTTAAAGCAAGATCCCCTGCACAGCCTGATTTCTAAGGAAAATAACAATAAAAATAGGAAAGTCAGCAATTCCTCTCTAATGCTCACCGAATTTAGCAAAGGGGCAATACAAGTGCAAGGTACCAGGAAAGAGCAGAAATCCCTCAGACAAAGCCCTGCCGAGGTCACAACTCACCATATCCCTCTCAATTCATACATCACTGCCCAATTAGTACAAAACGAGGCTGCCTTACCGTCTGTGGGTGCTTGAGGAGCCACTGCACGAAATGTTCCACAGCCACAAAAGCAAAACTTCTGAGTATGGGTCACAGTCTGGGAAAGAAAATGGTGAAATATTGCATATAGAAAGAAAACAATGAAATGGAAGATGAAATATTACATAGAGGATGAAGCTTTTTGTGCTAGGTCCTCTGGCACCATCAATGAAGCCACTGCAGGCCACCCTGCAAGGGCAAGTCTGCTCTTAGAGAACTTCTTATTACAGGATAGGGCAAAAAATAGGAGGAATCAAGGAAGTCGGGTGAGAAGTGCCCCTTGGGGATGAAAGGTGGACTAGTGGCTGATAAGTCAGACCCCCAGGGACGTGACCAGCATCTCCAAGGAATGGGAAAAATGTATCAGAGCTTTAGAGGTCGAACCGAGATGTGCCTGGAATATGAAGATGCGCTCGATGCCAGTATATCCACAGGCGGAAAGCCACAGTTGTATCTTGTCCCGTCCCCTTCTGCTCCTCAGGAATGACAGCTCCCCAGCACAGGATCTCAGAGTGGGTTATTGGTACAGTTTGGGTCTGAAAAGGAGAAAACAGGGAAAAAAACATGAAGCTGCTGCTGCTGTTGGCCATGTCCCTGTTTTGCACTGGCTGTCACCATTCCCATAGTTAATTACAATCTTTGCTTGAGTGTAAACGTGCCTCTACACTCCAGCTCAGACTGCATGAACCAGGAAAGAGCCATTAATTCAAAAACAGGGGAGTGGATCAGGCGGTTATCTAATAAGCAAAAGTCCGTATAAGTGTTAGAGATGGTGCTGCGTCTCCCAAGGATCTGGTCTTTAAGAAAGCTGAGATTGGGATTTCTAGGCTCTTCTAAGCAGATCAAGTGGCAAAATTTCCCTGCCTAAATGGGATTTAGCTGCCTAACCCACTTAGGTGCGTCTGCAAATCACCGTATTTCTCAGTTCAGCTTAAATTATCTCACTAAATGCCTTCACAAATCTCCCTCTCTGCAGCGGTTCCTGTGTCAAAAAAAAAAAAAAAAAATCCACACGGAAGGAAGCTTGCAAGGATGACTTAAAACCTGAGATTTCTTGTGACCAAGGTTGGCAAATGGGTGCTACTCCTTGACAAGACAGAAGTCAGCGAGCCAGGCGAGTCCAGGATAAAGATAGCTGTTATCTGAAACCTTCTGCATCGCGGATAATAAAATAAACAAACAAAAAGCGAGACCCAGCAGTGACTTGCATGGCCATGGGTGCATTTTGTGTTGTTTTTTTCTCTAAGAGAAAAGGAGAACGTAGAAAATGTAATTCCTGGAAAACTGGATGACATCAAGGCCTCCAAGAGACACTGGAAGCAAGTGGATGATTTCAAGGCAAAGAGACAAAGCTCCCCAGATCTCTGATACGTACATCACCTCTAGCATGCTCCTCAGATCTCCAATATACGCCTGATAAATGTCCCTCAATTTACATCACCTCTAGATACAAGGTGATAAACATCACCTAAGATCTCCAATATAACCTGCAATATCTACAATGATATAAATCACCTCCTGAGAGCTGCTCAGATCTCTCGTATTTGTCTGATACATACATCTCTTATATATATCACCAGTCTGGAGCTCCTCAAATCTAAAATATACATCTGATGTATGTACCTACCACGACATACATCACCTCTAGAGAGCTCCCCAGATCTCCCGTGCATGCCTGACATATCTACCATGCTATATATAACACCTCTACAGAGCTCCTCAAAACTCCAATAAACATGTAAGTCCCTTGATAAACATCCCTTCCAGAAAGCTCCTCAGATCTTCAATCTGCATCTGCCTCCCACAGTATGTATCATACGGTACAGACCTCCTCAGATCACTCACATGTGTCTAGGATATATTTATACCTTGGTCTACAGCTGCTCAGACCTTGAATGCACATGGGATAAATGCACCCGGATATGCATCAGCTAGAGGAGAGCTTCTGAGATCCCCAACATCCGCCCAAAATATCTGCCATGCTATGCACCACAGCCCCAGCACTTAAGTGTTTGTTTCAGTATCACTCCCATGACTTCTCCATGCAAAATGCCATCTGAGTTTCCAGCACTACAGTTGTGAGCACATATTTATGCATGTGCTCTTGGCACAAAATCTTCTCTGCCCATACAAAAACTGGACTCCGAATCTCAAAAAATGGAAGACTTGGTGAAGAAGCAAGAAGGCTCTCGGCTTCCTGACCAAGTGCAGGTCGTGCCGAGAGGTTGAGAGACTCAACCTGGGTTATGCTGAACACTCAGATGGGTCTCGAGTCCAAAACTCTTCAATTGCAAACATCATTAAGGATATTTATAATCAGGAATAAAAACCTATGGGCTCGTGCTTTGGCAGAGCAAGCACAGGCTGACACCGAATGCTAGTCAAGGAGCTGGGATGTGACCTGCTTTGGATTTGTCCTGACAGTGTTTCCACAAGCTCATATTTTTGCAGCAATTTGTCGTCCCTGTAAAGTCTTCTTTCCTCCCATGGGAGAGACTTTTGTCATCTGGCTTTGCTCGTGTGAATAAAGTATAAGACCTGGAAGAAAAGGAGCAGATAAATAGAGCTTTGCGAGGGCTAAAATAGCTCCTGAGCAATGCTGATTTCCACCTTCAGAGCTGATCAGGGCTGCGGTCTTGGATACTGCACGCACCTGTTTTGACAGGGCAAAAATACAGCTTGCATGGCTTCTGCACAAAAGATGCAGCTCTTGTCACTGTCACAAGGAGCACAAATAGCCAGTCCCACCAGCAACGCTTCCCCAAACACTCTTGCAAAGGGAGGTAGATCTTCATTAGCCAGCACACACTTTCAGCAACTTCAAAAGGCATCCTTTGAAGTTTATCAGAGGCCTTTGAAGTCCTGAAGATGCGAGAGGGAATGGAGATGTTGCCTCCAAGCTGCTCCATGGCAGATACAGCACTCAGTGCATGGAGCAGATGCTGGAGGGTCACAAACAAGACACACTGATGGCAACGATTTGCAGTCCTGGCACAGACTGCATCTACAGCAATCCCCCAACCAACACACCCTAAATCCCCATTTACCCAACTTGCATCATGTCCATTAGTGAAGATGGAAACCCAGGTAAGGTACCAGCATCCCAGGACATCAGCCTGTCCTCAGAATGCAAAAGGCTGCTTCCTTAGAGCATCCCTTTAATAAGGATTTAATTAAATATAAGGAAACGCTGATTAATATTTAGCAAAAAATAATCATTAAGGATTGTTGCAAAAAATGATGTTTCCTGGCATGCTGACTTGATTCCAGTGTGACCAAACCGTAGCGTTTCCTACATCAGCAGCTCAGTGCTGTTTAACTGTGGCTTAGTTTTTAACAACTCCGTGCCAGCTCCTCTGACCTGAGCAGGAACAACAAACACTGACATCCCTGATAACGCTGCTGGCTTTGCTGAATTTTTTCATATCTCACTCCAAGCTGTGCCATCCCCAAACTCTGTACCTGCGGTGAAAATTGGAGAAACCCTATCAGCATGAAAAGTATTATAAATGAGCAAAACCAAGGCTCAAATTTCAGTTGTGCTCTTTGAAGAGCACCAGTCATAATTAAGAGGCGATGACTCCTCTCCAAGCACTAAAGCAGCTCCAACATCCACTGCAAGCTGAAATAAGGAGCACTGCAAAAACTCATTTGATTGTGTTTTGTTTTTTCCCCATCGGGCAATTTCAGAACAAAACGCGGCCCAGAGGGTGGGAGCACCTGAAGGCACAGAGAGCAACCCGGCGTTCTCAGCCGTTCATCCGCCCACCTTCCCAGAGTCACAAGCTAACCCTGATGATGCCATCGTCAGCAAAAAGATCTGGAAAGTGTCAATATGCACGCACTACTTCCATATTTCTGAAAAAGCAACGCCGTGCACCAACCGCCGATGAATCCACGAGCAGAGCACTGCCCCTGTAGGTGATCTGCATCCTTGGAAGTGGGGGGAAATGTAAAGAAATATGGGAATCTCCCCGCCAGGCACATGTGTGCACATCTGGGCACGGGGAACAAAGCGGCCTCACCACACTGCACCAATAAATAATGGAAAGTCAAAGTGCCCCGCAGGAGCGGCCCCACACTGTTCAGCCTTGGGCGAGATGGAGGAAAATTTGGTGCCCATGAGGTCTGAACAGTGGGATTAATAACGCATCAATTTTAATGCAGGGTGGGTCGTTTTGTGTCGGATTTCTTTTTCTTTCCCCTCTTTTTTTTTTTTTTTTTTCTGCTTCACAAACAGCAAAGTGAATGTTTGAGCATCTCTGCGGGGGGTTAATGAGGACTCTGATTAGTTATTCAGATTTGCCGATGCTGCCTCCATCCATCCTCTGACTGAGAGTAAAGGGAAAGGGGTTGCAGAAAAGCTCTTTAAAATGACCTGCTCGGCTTCACAGCCTGGGTCTGCAGGTTTGAGGGCTCCCAACAAACCCCAGTGGTAGAAAAGTACATTGGGAAGATGTGCAGATCATTTGTGGGGTGAAAAAAAACGCTCTTGTGACACAATGTGTGTCAGGCAATGCTGATTCCTACAAAGACTTGAAGAAAAACATTGTTTTTATTTCACATGAAAAATAAATTCTTGGTTCTCTCAATAACATTCTTGTGCAATTCCAGTATGAACCATAAGAGCAAAAATGATGGAGGCAAGGAGGTAAGGAAAGTAAGGAAAGAAAGCAGTGAAGGGAGGAAGAGAGGGAGGGGGAGAGAGATGGAGAGAGGAAAGAAGGACAAAAGGAAGAGCTGGGATGTGCAAAGAAAGACAAACTGGAGCCAAGCTGGCTCAGTGAATGCCAGGCAATGCTGGGGTGCTCCAACCCAAACATGCTCTTTTCCCAGGATCACCTCCATATGCTTTGTTTCTGTTTTAAATGGCATGCTAATTGTTCTGAATTAAGAGCTCCAGCTGGAGGAGCAAACAAGCAATTTGCAACCTTGAAGATAATGCCCAACTTATCTCAAGTGATTTAAGTTTTGGGGGAAATCATGCCCTTCTGCTTGTGGAGCGTGAATGCTGACCTAAGAGATCATCTGAGTGCTAAAATCACATTGCTGAGATGATGAACGCACCCATTCAGCAGAAACGGATATTACTACGTAGCAACAGCTGGGGGTGGGATGGTGAGGAGAAGAAAAAGAAGGAAAAGAAAAAAAGGGGAAAAAAAGGAAAATTTGCATATGGCTTCATATTAAAGACAGCAGAGATACAGGCTGCACTCTTCACTGCTGGGCAATCCAAAATCCGTAGCAGGGCTCACGAGTACTTTCTCCGTAATGTTTTTGGTGGGTTTTTTTTGTGTGTTTCATTTACATTTTGTTCCAAAATATGCACACTCTCAAGAAAATAAATCTTTCAAGCTTTATCTCTTTGCCCTCTTTCATCTCTCTTTCCCTTTCTTCATTTGCTGCTAGATGTAGGAGGCGAGAGAGAAAGGCTGAAGTGATTATTTTACCATTCTGGATAGTCAACATTAAAGAAAATGTTGTTGTTTTTCTTCAAAAATAATAATTATTTCCAGCACAAACAAGGACCATTTGA